TAAAATTGAAAAAAATGAACTTTTTGCTTCTTTTAAGCAGCAAGGTTTATGCCTTTGATGCAATCATTTAGCTGCAAATTCTATTTTAGTTGAAATAAAATGCTCCGCTGGGGCGCAGCTTGATACGACCGCAGAGGTCAAACCCTGAACAGTTGGGGCAAGTATGGACACAACATTCAAGCTTGATACAGCACTGAATTTGGATTGTAATTAAATATTTGACACAGCATAGGTTTCTGACACAGAATGAAAGTGGTCTAAGAACTGAAAAATTTTCAATTTACATACTGTAAATTCAGAAATTATTGCGTGCATTTATTATTGCGATTTTGTCATTTTGGACTAAAATGCGATTTTAATTTTTGCGATATTGAGAAAAATCCTGTTTAATTCATATAAAAAATTTCAAAATGCGAGTTTAAATTATTGCGATTATAACCCTGTCGCATTTTTCGCAATAATAAAAACATCGCAATAATTTCTGAATTTACAGTATTCATACATGTGATGGACTGTGAAACTCAGATCAGGAGATTGGGAAATTTTGGTCAGGAGATTAGGACTCAGATCAGGAGGTTTTTAATCGACATTAATTTTGTTGTAAATGTAACCGTGTGCTGTAAAAATGGTCTTTTAAAGTGTGTTTTCTTCAACTTTCCATCCAATTTATTATGTTTATAGTACCCTTGTACTTATAAAGTTTCTCCATCTTTATATTCTACATGTTCAATCTAACATTGTTTTTTTCCAGTATGTTCTTTAAATTTTTTACTTCATATTCTATAAAACAATCATTGCAACCAGAACATTTGTTTAGCTATCTGCAAATACTTTTTATTTATTTTTTTTTTCTCTTGCAAATAGTTTTTATTTGCAAACTCAGAAAATCAATCTATCTGTAAAATTAGGGTCATTGTTATTATATAAATTTCAATTTAAGCCTTAAAAGGAAGTATAGAATCCTCAAATAATTTTCAAATTATTATTTTTTTATTTGTCCTAAGACATTTAAAATCATTTAATAACCATCCTTTTATGATTATTTGTTCAATTTATATTTTATTTATATTCTTTTAAAAATTTTCATTATTAAAAGGAAAGTAACTTAAAACAGGATAAATCAAGGGAAGTAACCCAATAAATACACAGTTTTTGTTACACAACGGCAGTTAGCCTGAGGAAAAATCGTTGATTACCAGTATGTTTGACACCCAAGCTGACAAGTGAAGCCATATAATTATGCATGTTAATTGATTTACAGGTAAAATATAACTTCAGGTAATGTCAGTTACACCAGATGCCTGAGATGATATGTTGGGCAGAAATTTTTCATTCATGAAAAATTTCATACACGGGATTTTTTCCTCTTCAACGGGAGGTCGGGAGGAGACCCCTGAAAACGGGATTATTGTACTCCCATCGGGAGGTTCACATGTATGCCTATTCAAACCATATCATTATTATTTGCTTTTATATATAAATCAGAAATAACCAATTTAAAATGGAAAATGTTAAAGAAAAAAAAGGAAAAAAAAAATCCCCCCCCCCCCAATTTTTTGGACCCCCTTATGATTCATCACCCCCAAACTCAATCCCAGCTTTCCCTTTATGGTATGGTACCTTGCAGTACAATTTCAGAGAGATTCATACACTTGAACACAAGTTATTGTCTGGAAACTAGAAAAATGCTTGTTTTTTGGCCCCTTTTTGGCCCCAAATTCCTAAACATTTAGGGCAATTACCCCCAAACTCAATTCCAGCTTTCCCTTTGTGATATGGAACCTTGCAGTACAATTTCATAAAGATCCATACACTTACACACAAGTTATTGTCATGAAACTAGAAAAATGCATGTTTTTTTGCCCTTTAAAGCCCCTACTTACTAAAATTTTGAGGGAAAACCCCCAAAATCAATCCCAGCCTTCCCTTTGTGATATGGAACCTTGTAGTACAATTTCATAAAGATCCATACACTTACAAACAAGTTATTGTCATGAAACTAGAAAAATGCTTGTTTTTTGCCCCTTTTTGGCCCCTAATTCCTAAAATTTGGAGGAAATTACCCCAAAAATCAATTCCAGCTTTCCCTTTGTGATATGGAACCTTGTAGTACAATTTCATAAAGATCCATACACTTACAAACAAGTTATTGTCATGAAACTAGAAAAATGCTTGTTTTTTGCCCCTTTTTGGCCCCTTATTCCTAAAATTTTGAGGCAATTAACCCCAAATTCAATCCCAGCATTGACCCTTTGTGATATGGAATCTTGTGGTACAATGTCAAAGAGATCCATATGCTAACACACAAGTTATGTCTGGAAGTTACAAAAATGCTTATTTTCGGCCCCTTTTTGGCCCCTAATTCCTTAACTGTTGGTACCATAACCCCCAAAATCAATCCCCACCTTCCTATTGTGGTATTGAACCTTATGGTAAAATTTCATAGAGATCCATTCACTTAAACTAAAGTTAGAGTGCGAAAACCATTGTGTATTCGGACGACGACGCCGGACGACGACGACGACGACGACGCCAACGCCAACGTCATACCAATATACGACCTCAAAATTTTTTTGCGGTCGTATAAAAATGCTTATTTTTGGCCCCTTTTGGCCCCTAATTCCTTAACTGTTAGTACCATAACCCCCAAAATCAATCCCCACCTTCCTTTTGTGGTATTGAACCTTATAGTAAAATTTCATTGAGATCCATTCACTTAAACTAAAGTTAGAGTGCGAAAACTAATGTGTCTTCGGACGACGACGCCGGACGACGACGACGACGACGCCGACGCCAACGTCATACCAATATACGACCACAAAAATTTTTTTGCGGTCGTATAAAAATGCTATAAAAATGGCTTTACATAATTATGAACTGATACTTTCTTAACAGATTTTTCCCAGCAGTGGGAGTATTTTTCCTGTAAAATTCAAGGTTTCATCTTATAGATTATGTAACAAAATTCTACTGTTCGCGATCAAAATTTCACTGTTTGGGGGTGTTGAAATTAGTAGGGCTTATTAGAATAATGATACTTAAAGAAGTGATTTTTTGGAAGGATATTGAGGTATGATACTTAAACAAGTGATTTTTATGTCATTATTCTAGATTTAGTACAAGGTCATCACCTTACATGACCCGGTCATCCTATCAACACAGATGTTTGTTCTGATAATTTTAGCAACATAATTAGTCCCTGGATCATTAGTATTCTATATTTAAAGCTACATTAAAATTAAATCACTTAGTCTAGTGATTAATTTGTACTACTTAAATAGATGATTATTAAAGAAAGACAATTCTTACTTCCAACCTTTATGGACATAATGTTACTTGAATCAGTGATTTAGAAAATCACTCATTTAAGTAAGTCCCCTGACTGTTTATGACGTTATTTACCAGATAGAGGGGATGGCCTGTATCCCTACACTATTAACTTTCATCAAGCGTCTTAGTGATTGTCATTGTGCAGGATAAATTAGAAATAATGTTTGTTCTGTAGGTACTTAATCACAATTCCCTAATGACAGCAGTGCTGATTGTCAATTATGAGAATTCAATTTGCCGAATAATTTGTGCAATATAGCATCATAGTTTTCCAACCACTTGCTCAACATGGGAACGGAAGTGATGATGCCCCTAAATGCACGAATGATGTTCACTAAAACCAAAGTTTTTGACGGAAATGCATCAAACTCGAAAGTTGTCTATTATAGTTATCTCGTACCATTGCAAACTCGTACCAATGTCAACTTGTACCACTAAAAACAAACTCATACCAATGCAAACTAGTACCACTGCTAACTCGTACCACTGTAAACTTGTACCATTGAGTAATTAAGAAATTCATTTTTTTAATAAAGATTTGCAAAAACAATTCATAAAACAGTCGTATTTATGTCAAAGTTTTCATTAAAATCTGGTACAAAATTCAAGAAATTCATTTTTTTAGAAAAAGATTAAGGAAAAAAAATGATAAAACAATCGCATATTGTCTAAATTCAACTTTTTTTATAAAGATTTAAAAAAATTTGATAAAACATTTGTATATTGTATATATTTTTAATGGTATGAGTTTGCAGTGGTTACGGGTTATGAATGGTAGGACTTCTCAGTCGTACGAATTGACTTTTAGTGGTACGAGTTGACGTGGTACGAGTTAACTTGCTTCCGTCCCAGGTTATGGGGAGGGTTTGGTGCCAGCTATTGAGCTAACATATTAAGGTTCATCTATACACTTCCACAAAAATGGCTGTGTTTACACCATGAAATTTTCTCTGAATGCAGACAAAACTGTGTAATTCTAATAGTTTTAATTCCTGGCAGCACCTAGATATATACAAGTTGTATTCATTTTGTGTTTTAAAAAGAAAAAACCTTTTGTGGATTTTGCTAAACATTTTCTTTCCTTGCCACAGGTGGTGTAAAATAAACAAAGTCATGTGAAATCTTTGAGATGGTCCCCCTCAGCATATTGTATTGTATCATATTGATTGATATGGACAATAGAGGGACAATAGAAATCTACTCACAACAAAGGTGATTTAAATAGTGTAAATGAGTGAACTGTATCAAAGAAAACTCAGGTGTTTGTTTATTTCTCCATCTTCTGTGGCAAGGAAAGAAAATGTTCATCAAAATCCCTAAAGTGTTTTAACTTTTTAGAACATAAATTGGATGAACCATTAATTTATCTAGGTGCTGCCAGGCATTAAAACTTTTAAAATTACAGAGTTTTGTCTGTACTCAGAGAAAATTTCATGTTGTAAACACAGCCATTTTTGTTAAAGTGTATAGATGAACCTTAACCTGCCACATCAGTACGTACCTTACCCAAGTTAGGAGCCTATATATTATTCAGTGGTTGTTGTTTGTTGCTGTATAGCATAAAATAATTTTGTTTTACCACATCTTTTTTATAATCATGTTTCATTGTTTGATTTCATAATTATCATGTTTAATTTTATATAGTTTCATTATTTAGATCAGTGATGCACCTGTTCTAAGGAGAATTTGCTCTTTAATGCAAGGTATCTAAGTGCACAGATATTATCCTTCAATAGATGGCATCCAACTGCTTCAGCAACTTCTCCAAAATTATCTTTTAATATGCTTTTGCATAGATTACTTTTATTATGTGACATGCTGTTTCGTCATGAAAATGGTTGGTAAAGTCAAAAGAGTTTCCAATTAAACAGAGAAGTATGGAAAAGTTCCGAGACCTCCCAAAACAAAGAAGGTAAAACCTGAAACAAAAGCGGTTTAGGAAACTTTTTTGCAGTACAGACAACAGTATAATTTTATGGGTTTTTAGATCTAATAATCGAGTCAGCGACTCTTTTCACAAAAAAATCTTACGATTAAAATTGGTCGTAAGTTATACTGAAATGTGTACGTGTATGACTTCCGAATATTTTCACTCTTAAGATTTTTTGTGAAAAGAGTCGCTGAATCTTAAGGTTCATCATAACAAATGAACAAAAATGGCTGTATTTACACCCCAAAAACTACTCTGTGTACAGACTTACCTGTCCAGTTTGGAAAGTTTTAAGGCTTGGCATCCACTAGACTGTTAAATGGCTAAAATGCATTTATTTGTTTCAGAAAGATATAATATATATCACTTTTGGATTTTGATGGGCATTTTTTTTCCTTTCTGCAGAAGGTGTAAAAATAAACAAACACCTGAATTGCTTTGATACTGTACACTCTGTTAAACCCTTTAACTCACCTATAGTTATGTAGATACCTATTGTCTGTCTTTTGTCTGTGTCAATCAAGAACAATCAATACAATACAGTTTTTACCTGACAGTCAGGGATATAACTCTATAGGGTTATTACAGAAAATAACTTGCATGTGTTATTACAGATACTTTTATGAGTTGTCTACTCTTTAATCCTTAAATTTACTAAACCTGTAATAACATATGTTTGTTATTTGTAAAATAAATCATAAATATTTTTATTTTTAGTGGGCTCTAGGGAACTCTTGAAACTTTGCGCAGAAACTAAATGCATAGCATTGATGACTAACTATTAATTTAGATTAATACATTTTTCATTAACCATGGTAAATCAATGAGACAAGGCTTTTAAGTGATTGACTTAGCTGTAATAACAAGGCTTAGTTATGGCATGTAACTTATTAAATGAGACACTTGGAAATTACTGGGAAGCTTGCGCAGAACCTTATTACATGCTCTGATCATTACTTCTTACAATAAATTAAAATACATTGTAATTGAGCATGATCTATGTCTGAGCAAATGCTTTGAAGTGATGTAGAGAAGCTATAATAACACCCTTTAGTTATTACAGGCATATTTGTTCTGTAATATCATAGGTGTGATATGCATGATTGGCAAACTATGAACTGTTATATCTTTCTATAGTTAAGTACCGGTATACATAAAGACAGTAGCAATATCAATAGAACTTGTATGTATACATTTTAACAAAACTAATGATGTATATTGTCCCTTTGAAACATGTAACATACATATGTTATCACAGTTCTTTGATTTTTTCGTCCACAATAACAAGCGTATGTTATTTTTCTCTAGTAACCCTAAAGAGTTATATCCTTGACTGCCTGAGCGGGAGCATCTTAAAGTTTTATTCCAACTTAGTTTATTTTTGCACCTTCTGCAGAAAGGAAAACAATGGCCATCAAAATCCAAAAAAAGATTTTATTTTTCTGAAACACAAAATGCATTTAACTTTTATATATCTAGTGGATGCCAGGCATTAAAACTTTTCCAACTGGACAGGTTAAAGTCTGTACTGAGAGTAGTTTTTGAGTATTTACGATTAAAACGTCTTAATCCTTATAATTATACAAGTTTAAGCAGTATAAATTGATGAAAAATAAACAAAATAATTTTTATTCAGGAAGATATATATTTTTTTTGGTATATACATGTACTGCTTAAACTTGTATAATTATTCATATTCGACTTTAAAGTTATGATAACTGTATGTTTATGATTTCCAATAATGTATTAATTTTTCTTCATTTAACATGTTTAAGGTGTTTTAAAGAATTTCTTCTTGCAGTACTTTAAATTCTTTTAATTTTTAAAGTTGTCGTAACCTTTTGAATAATTACGTCCGCCATTTTGTTTTCAACAAGGAATTTGCATACAACTTACAAGACATGCTTATCGATTTCCTGAATTATATTGCACTTTTATTGAGTAAACACGACTAATATCTTTAAATTGCATACTTTTAATATTATTTGAAGTAGTAAAAACCATGTTTTCGGGACAAATCAATTTGTACTTGGGATATCAAATAGTTCTTGTAATCCTCGGGAAATCGTGGTACCGGTTAAGTTCAATATAAACTATCAGTCAGGGGTACTACTTGTACAAGTAATTTTTACTTGAAGAATTTAATATTAATATACTTATATAAGTAAATTTGTAGGATACTTATACAAGTGTTTTTTTTGTTTACTTGTATTGGTAAATAATTTTTAGGCTTTAGTTAGTTACATGTTGTATGTCCCTTAAACATTCAGATTTTTTTTACTTATATAAGTAAAAAAGTCATCCTATCTTCTTTTCTTGATTTCTTAGGACTTCTTTGCTCTAATAGAATTTTTATGTTTGTCCTTTGTAGATGTCCTCACTAATCATTTAAGTGTAATTTCATGGCCAATGAAAATCTCCATTGTCTGTTATCTTCAAAACACTGCTCATTTACAAGCCCCAAGGGGCAAATTTTGAAGGCCTTGCCCAAATACTGAAGATCTTTGCACAATAAGTTTCTTTGTTGAATTAATGAGATGAAACATTGAACTCTAATAAAAAATTATGAGCTAACCTGAGAAAAATTCTTAAAGGCATGTTTTGATATCTGAAAACTTGAGAATTTTTGTGGGATTGTAAAAAAAATTATTTATACAAGTAAATTTTATAGAAAATTAAGGGGAGATTATTCAAACATTATAATTTACTTATATATAAAGTATATTATTATTTACTTCTTCAAGTAAATAAAGATCACTTGTACAAGTAACTAGTACCCCTGACTGAATATAGAAAGACGAAAAATATATACAAAATTAAATGCGAGCTTTTATTTATCAATCCAAGCAACAGTGTAAAGTATTAAGTAAATTGATCTTTGCTAATCATTGCTAATGTAAGTCAGTTTGCAATATGAGAAAAATTGCCTAAAATCTGGTAGTTAAACTTAAAGTCCTGTAACTGGAACTGCAAATAAAAAAAAATGAATTCGAAAGGGAGCTATCTTTTAACAATCTTAAGAAGAGATTTAACATGTTAAGGTAAATTAATCTAAAAAAAAACTATTGACACAGATATATATATATCATGGATATGTCTTGCCTGTCTGCAGAAAATTTAAAAAAAAAAGACAATCTGATGGAAATTAACATTACTATCACAAGTAGTTCCTATCAAACTGACTTCAGCAGAAAAACTTGAAATTAAGAATTGCTATTTAATTCAAAATCACTGGACCATGAGGCATGACCTAGGGGGCAGGGTCTCCAAAAAAATTGTCAAACTGTCATGTACTGATACAAATGCAACTTTATATAAAATATCATTGATCTACCTGTATCACAAGAAGTTCCTTTCAAACTAACTGAAGAAGAAAACTTAACATTGAACATTGCACATTAATTGAAATCCCCTGGACCATGACCAAAACCCCAGGGTTAACGACCTTAAAATAGTCACACAACTGACATGTACTGACAGTTACTGCTGTCAGATAGTAAACAAAAACTATAGTAAATGTGTGAAATATAAAAAAATATTCTAAATTTTAGTTCAAGTCAAGTAATGAAGTCAATGTTGAAAAACCAATTCAAACTACAAGGTCACCATCAACAAATTATTTTCTTGATGTTGCTTACTAACATGTTGACTAATGCCTAGCTTGTAGAATTTTTTTTGGCGTGGCCAACAACATAAGTTACATCATAACATGTTTTGAATAGAAAACGATGTAAGACATATAAGAGCGTTTTATTTTTTTTTAAATTTGAAACGATTTGTGTCATAAATTTTTTTGGGTTATAGACTGCTTTATAGGGGGGCAGGTAGGCAGCGACATTGAAAAATTCTACTTTTATTTTTGACTCCATTACTGTAGATGTTTCTTTGTATGTCAAATCATACATACATGTCCGTCATATCATTATCTATTATAATATACATGTATATTGTATATAAAAATTGCTATATTTTAGCTAAACTGTCACCTAAAAATGAACCACACATTTTATCTTTATTTTTTTCAATGCTGCGTGTTTGTATTGTTTTCTGTCTATCGTTTTGTTATTTATGTCTTTCCACTTTTCTGTGGAAAGACCTATTGTATTTGATCTGATTATCATGATTATTATTTTTTTCTTCCGCCAAATTTTGTTATCGCGTAAAATTTTTGTTTCGCAATATGTCGCTAAGATATTTCTTATATAGTATCATACTAGTTATGCGCTTTTTATTTTCACCCATTCTAAGCCGAACAATTTTTTTGTAAGAGTTATCTCCCTATTCACTGTTTATCAAGTGTGTGCATCTCCTTTGTAACAAAAAAAGATATCAACAAAATTCTTTTTCTAAATTGTTCCTTACATCCTCAGGAATTTTTGGCTAATTTGGATTGAAGCGATTCAATGAAATTTTAAAGGAGTTATCTACCTTTACCAAATAAATTTGTCGGTATGTTTTTTTAACTCATAAACCGTTAACCGTATAACCATGGAAACTTCTTATTTGTGTCCCCTAGGTCCTAACTTAGAAAATGAGGTCAAGGTCAAAGGTCAAGGTCAAGTTCTCTATTTTGACTTTTCCTTGTTTTTGCATTTTCTCCGACACTTTTAAAGATATATATAAGAGAACAAGTGCAAAATGTTTGCTTTGTTGTAATGAAGATATGTTACATTTGGTCTAAAACAATCTAATGAAATCTTATAGTAGTTAGTGCCCCTGAAATGTCTTAATTTAAGGTTAATTGATTATTACTTCAACTTGGTTTATTATAAAGCCATATGACCTTTAACAAAAGGTTGGGTGACATATGACCTTGAAAAATGTCAACCGGAAGTGACCTTGAGAAAACCAGACGTATCCATTTTTGCACTTTTTTCATGGAAAAGTACTCGGAATCCATATATTTTGTAATATAAATACATAAACTTATCACTAAAGACCAGAAGTGACTTTCGATAAACCGGAAGTGGTCAATTATCTCCTGTTTTACATGCAAAAGTATATAGAAATTATATATTTTTGGAATCAGTGTGAAAGAAGCTATCATATGAGACCGGAAGTGACATTTACTTCACTGGAAGTAGCTAATTATCTCCCTTATTTCACTCAAAAGTATATAGAAATCATTTATTTATCGCATCAGTATGAAGAAACTTATGATTTGATGCCAATTCCAACTTTGAGTAAACAGGAACTAGCTTCTTTTCAATAACTTAAAATTGATGTGGAAAGACCTTCAATTGTTCTCTGAACAATTGGTTTTTAATTATATTATGTGTTTGTTTGTTTGTTTGTTTGTTTGTTTGTTTAGTAACAATCCTATTGTTTGGATTTTAGACTTATAAAATTCTTATTCTTTTACATGTTTTATGACTCATTTACTATTGCAAAGTAAAGATGTTCCAAAATCATTACCAATGACATGCTCACCTGCATATACATGATATACAACATGAACATGGAAGTATGATAATGTATTGAAAACCAGTAAAACATTGTAAAAATTGAAAACAAAATTCAGATGTATTTCCATTTAAACATTTGATATTTCACTTATATAAATGCCGACACCATAACTACATTTACTGTGACATTCAAGGTGTTAAATAAAATTGAGAATGGAAATGGGGAATGTGTCAAAGAGACAACAACCCGACCATAGAACAGACAACAGCAGAAGGTCACCAACAGGTCTTCAATGCAGCGAAAAATTCCCGCACCCGGAGGCGTCCTTCAGCTGGCCCCTAAACAAATATATATACTAGTTCAGTGATAATGAACGCCATACTAAACTCCAAATTGTACACAAGAAACTAAAATTAAAAATAATACAAGACTAACAAAGGCTAGATGCTCCTGACTTGGGACAGGCGCAAAAATGTGGCGGGGTTAAACATGTTTATGAGATCTCAACCCTCCCCCTATACCTCTAGCCAATGTAGAAAAGTAAACGCATAACAATACGCACATTAAAATTCAGTTCAAGAGAAGTCCGAGTCTGATGTCAGAAGATGTAACCAAAGAAAATAAACAAAATGACAATAATACATAAATAACAACAGACTACTAGCAGTTAACTGACATGCCAGCTCCAGACTTCAATTAAACTGATTGAAAGATTATGTCTTCATCATATGAATATCAGGCACAATCCTTCCCGTTAGGGGTTTAGTATCATACCATCATAAAATATATGAGAAGAACATAACCCGTGTCATGCCAACAACTGGTTTTTAAAGTCGATTTGAAAAAAAATAAGTTTATAATTACAGTTTATACAGTTATATGTTTTATGTTACACTTACTTATTTTGTAAATACAAACATATAAAACTTAAATCCTAATATTTTGTCCCTTCATTTGTCCATAACAATATCTCCATTAACAGATTAATAAGCATACATTTGTAGTTCACAATACACATGTACAAATGTTATATCATATATTATCATGATTATATGTACTGTAAATTCAGAAATTATTGCGATGTTTTTATTATTGTGAAAAATGCAACAGGGTTATAATCGCAATAATTTAAACTCGCATTTTGAAATTTTTTATATGAATTAAACATGATTTTTCTCAATATCGCAAAAATTAAAATCTCATTTTAGTCTAAAATGACAAAATCGCAACAATAAATGCACGCAATAATTTCTGAATTTACAGTATTCAGTTTTAGCATATATATATTTCAGCAAATTTGGTGATGTTTATGTCAGAATTTCAAAATGTCTACACGTGCTTGTTGTGTTAAAGATTGTCGAAATAATGGAAGAAAATTGATTAAATGGAAAGAACAATTCTGTGACTTTCATAATTGTAATTTTGGAACATCAAGATGTATATGTGAACCTCCTTTTACACTTTTCCCATTTCCAACTGTACTAAAAAACTCGTACAACAGGAGAATCTGGACAAAAAATGTAAACAGAAGTATTGGAAATAAAATCTGGACCCCTACTGAAGAGTCTCGTATTTGCTCCAAACACTTTGTAGATGGATTTCCTAATGACAATAACCCGTATCCAACATTGTGTCTTGGTCACGAATCGGCTTCTACAGTTACTTTTGCTAGACCACCTCCAATTGACCGATCAATTATAGATTTGTCTCCATCTAAAAAGAGAAAACATCAAGATTCTCCCAGTGACAATAACCCATATTCAACATTGGGTCTTGGTCACGAGTTGGCTCCTACAGTAACTTTTGTTATACTACCACCAATCTACCAATCAAATATAGATCCAACTCCATCAATAACGAGAGATCATCAAGATTCTGACAGCACAGCCACTAATTACCATGAAGACCATAACTATTCAATTGCCTGTCTCTCTTGTGAACAGAAATCTTATGCAATGACCACAACGGTAATGATATACTGTTAAATCAGAAGTTATTGCGTGCATTAATTTATCATTGCAATTTTTCAAGAATGGACAAAAATGCGAGTTAAATTATTGCGATTTCCAAAAATCACTGCATACAGATCTATGTTTAAGTTATGAGAACGCAAGTTCTTATTATTGCGTTACCCACCCAGTTGCATTTTTCACATTAATTAAAACCTCACCATTATTTTTGAATTTACAGTACATTGTTTAAATACATTGTATTCTTGTACTGTATTGTATTGTATTGTAATTTTATTGTAAAACCAAGAATGTATTTATCAAATTTAATATTTAGATTGCTCCTAATTATAATCTTCATATAAGGACATATAATGTATCTTTCCTTTATGGGGTCAGATTACATTCCCCAATCTTCACAGCCAAGTTAAATTAAAAAATTTTGGCCTCATCATTTTCATTGTATATTGAATCAAAAATATTTTAAACGGTTGGGATAGATTGGCACTGCTTTTATACTTTTATGAAATTCAAAAGTACAAATGTTGCTTTGAGTCCCTTTACATATACAGGATTTGTTTTGCTTCATTGCACTTACCATTGTTACTAGGTCATGCTTCAATGACTTTGAATTCATTAGCAATTTCCAATGTTAAGTTTTCTGCTTTAGTTAGTGTGATAAGAACTACTTGTGATAGATCAATAATATTTTGTATAAAGTTGCATTACTGTTTGTACAACTCAGTCTGTACATATCAGTTTGATGACTATTTTTAGGCCCTGCCCCCTAGGCCATGGTCCAGTGACTTTGATTTTATAAGCAATTTTCAATGTTAAGTTTTCTACTTAAGTTTGTTTGATAGGAACTACTTACAATCGACAAAGATATTTTCTATAAAGTTACATTACTGTTTTTACAACACAGTCTATTGACCATTTCAAGGTGCTGTCTGCTAGTTTATGGTCTAGTGGATGAAAATACATGTACCGACTCACAAAACTGCATGTGATGGTGTATTTATTAGAATAGGCCTAAATGATGCTAAAATATAAAGAAAATACAATAATAGGCAAAAAATGTGAAGAGTAGAGGAAATGAGCCAAAAATATGAAGTATGGGATAGAGAAAAATGACCTTAAAAGTAAAGAATACAGAAATAAGGGACCTTTATACAGACCCTCATCATGATCATGTATGATTTTGAGTCCGTAACTTATACATGTTCTACACCTTATTCCTTTTTTCAACAACCCAATCCACTGATTACAGTATTTAATTATTTCTTTTACAGTTTGGGATGTCGGTGAATTACGCAGATGGTTTATCACCATATGAGCATAAAGGACCTTGTGGCCAACCAGAACTACAAGATACTCCTGAAGAAGGAGAAAGAAAGATAGCAGAATTGGTAGAGTTGATCAAATATAGTAAACATATGATTGTCATCACAGGTGCAGGGATCAGTACCTCAGCTGGGATACCTGACTTCAGGGGGCCAAAAGGTAAGTGTAAATGACAGGGAGCAGGAGAGTATGTTTATACATATGTTTAACATAATAAAGAGATGGATTACTCTTTATATATATGAAAGAGGAAAAAGATACCAAAGGGACATTCAAACTCTCAAGTCAAAAGCAAGCAAACAATGCCATGGCAAAAAAACAAAAAAAACAATGTCATTGAATGAAAAGATAAAACAACAGTACACAAAACACAACATATGAAACTAAAGACTGACCAACATAAACTCCATTGAAAACCTAGAGTGATCTTGTGTACTCGGATGGGTAAGCAGATTCTGCTCCATATTTAGCACCCTCTATGTTGCTCATGTAAATACAAAGTAAATTGCAGCAGATTACATGAAGGAAAAGAGAACAGGATTTTGATATATAGGACAATTAGAACATTAAATTCATCATTTGTCAAACAACAGACATATTCTATAACCGTCAACTAAAAAAATCCATACTCTTGTATTCATTATATATATGTATTGCAATTATGGCACTATCCTGATTTATTACCAAACACAAAAATCGATATATGTAGTACAATATAAGATAGCAGTACATGTTGTTGGTATTCTTTCTGAACACTGTGTCTAATTCATACAGATTTAGAAGTATAAAAACTGAAGCAATCAATTTTTTATATTGAAGAAAATTTCCAGTTAAACAAGAAAAAGTCTTTAGATGAACTGAAATTGAAACTCATTTACAGTTTTTATCTGGTCCTTGTGTATGATCTGTTATGTTTTTGGTAATCTGGCTTTGCAGTTTGCACAAGTGGAATTTATGCTAATATTTGTGTTTTTTTTTGTATATTATTGAAAACAGGAGTTTGGACTTTAGAAAAGAAAGGCATCAAACCTGAATTTAGTGTAACATTTGAAGGTGCAAAACCATCTCCTACACACATGGCACTGGTAGCACTAGAAAAAATGGGTAGGTAATGAATAAGTTAAACCATCTCCTACACACTTGGCACTTGTAGCACTAGAAAAAATGGATAGGTAATGAATTAGTTAAACCATCTCCTACTAAGTAACTGACAAGGGAGATAATTGCACAATATTTTGGCAAAATGTGCATTGCTAAATAAAAATTCATGATTTTGCTGGTTAATGTTTCTATGCCTTGAATGCCTGATCTATATGACTAATGGTGTTTGTGACTGTAAAGAATAGCACACATTCCTCCCTCTGATATACTTCTAAAGAAACCTTTTAGATTTAGAATACAGAATAGACTATTTTTAGATTTAGAATACAGAATAGACTATTTTCATAATACCAACTACAGAGAATCTGAGAGTATATGACTTTTTGACAGATTAACTTCTCTGTTGAAGGAAATTCTAGTAATTAGCCAAGTAAAAGCAACTCAAAGTAGTAAACTCAAGCTTACAATCAGGGCTCTTTTCAGGAAAAAATAACTGTTTTCCAATGACTTTGTGGTGTAAAGAAATAAAAATAGAATACTTTGAATAGAATTTAACAGATTTTTCTTTTTTTTTAATCAGCTTTTGAATGATCATTCAGTCTTGTATTGATTTCAACTTGTCTGTCCATTCTCTCCTTTGTTCAATACATTTTTTTGTGACTATTTTGGTCAGAGGCATTGCTGAGAAGAATGACTACATATTTGGTCAGCAGCTTGACGGTGATGTGTTGTAATGTGTTAGTACTTTATTGGAACTGTCAGACACCAACTTCCTGTTTTCCAATTCTTTGTAGGGATATGCTTAAAAAGACAATACATTCAATTTTTTTGGTAAAATTAATGTGTTTTATACTTAAGGTAATTTCCTAATTTTCAGGTGTGCTGCAATGTGTCGTATCTCAGAATGTTGATGGATTACATCTGAGATCTGGTTTCCCTAGAAACAGATTATCTGAGCTCCATGGTGACATGTTTGTAGAACAGTGTGACAAATGTAACACACAAGTAAGTGTTTAAACATTCTTTTATATTGATATCTAATAACCTAATCTACAATTATACCAGACTTAGGAAGTTTAAGATCTAGACATATTGCAAGATGTAGGAGATAGCATGTTGTTTTTTTTAACTTTGCAGGTTGTATATTTACACTTTTAGTATTCAGCTAAACTTAGTCTCCCAAAGATCCATCTCCCCTATTGATTGTACTTTTAAATTACGACGTCAAATTGTGATTTGAAATTTTCAGTGCTTGTGGGATTTTAAGTAATGGCTGCTAACTTGGCATACATGTGCTAATAGGTCTATAATTTTGACTTCCTATATAGCCAAGTACTGGGGATTTATTTATTTTCTTGAGTATCAATTTTCATTGGTCAAAGAAAAAAATATGTTCATTGATACTTGATCATATGGTTTTACATACAATCCTGTGAGAAATGTATACTTAGTTGAATTTTTGAATTGGTGGTTTATCTAGACCTACAAAATTCACAAAATTTGGATCCAACCAATAATAATGAATCCACAGTACTTTACACTTTTATGGTATTAAAATAAAAGATTTACTGTAAACCAACTATTTTTCGCAACCGATTTATGATTTTTGTGACTTTCGCGAGTAAAAAAATAACGCGAAAATTAATCGCCGTGAATATGTAAAAATATTATCTATCCTTATTGAAATACATCAAATAGTTTAAAAATCGCGAAATTAAATCGTCACGTAGTGGACTAGAATGGGCTAAACGAGAAATAAAGTATCCACGAAAATAAGATGGTTTACAGTATTTATAATTATGTGAATACATTAAAGCTTACATAGATATCAAAACTTTCAAAACATTGTCTTTCCCAAAAAGTTTGTTTAGGCAGGGATATAGTTTTGTCCTTGGTTTTGTTTCTGTTGGCAAAAAATTCTAAAATTGTAAACAAAGGCTGTAACTAGATTATAAGAAAGTAATGATTTTGATTATATCATGTATATTAAATATTAATTGATTGTTTTTGGTGTGTTTTAATGCCACTTTTAACACTATTGGAATGTTGTAGTGGCCAATTTTGTTTTGTGGAGGAAGCTTGTGAGAACCACAACTTCCAGTAGAAAAACTTGCAAACCATGTCAATTAAGATTGGAGTTGAGCGCATCTGCCATGTACTAGGCCCTTTGAAAGTAATACATTGACATTTATTTCAATTAAAATAATCTATAGATGTTTTGTTTTACAGTATATAAATGCTACAGTTGTACCAACCATGGCATTTAGGCCCACAGGAAATCCTTGTACACAGAGAAAGTCTAGAGGATTGTGCAGGTAACCAGTTGAATGGTGTCAAAGACATATAACTGCTGTCCAACTATTGTTTTTGTTGAGAATACCAGTTCATGTACATGAAAAAAACTAAATATTAAAAATTATATTTTCTACATGAATTTTGCTTCATTGGTGTAGTATTGTTAGACAATTTTATTTAATTATTGAAATTATGCCTGACCATAATGAATATTAAAAAATATAAGAATTTAGTAGGCTTTTAACATTATGCATTTAAGTCAAAAAGAAATTTACTCAACTTGCATTTGCTTGATTTGAAGAAAAATTAAGCTTGACCTTTGCAATAAAATTGAAAAAAAAAGTCAAAAGCCTAAGACTAAAAAGTTCAATTTGAGCTATTTAATTGAAAGGGTTGACCTAGTTGTTCAATTTCATTAAAATCAGTTGTTAGTTTTCCCTACAATAATCTCCCCCTGGAGGGAGTGTAGCTTATCACAAAATGGGATTTTATATAGATTGGTAGTTGTTAATCTTGCTGGAAGGTCTTCTTCTGTTGATAGAAAACATATGAACATTCTTCATTTACTTACAGAGGAAAATTGAGGGATACAATACTGGACTGGGAAGATGCTTTGCCTGATGAAGATTTGGATAGAGCTTTTGCAAATGCTAAGTAATGACATTTTAGTCTTGTATTTTAGTGAATGAATTTTGTCGTTTAGCAAGAAAGTGTAGTTTTAGAATTATTAAATGCATGTTTTGTATTTCCACCATTTCTGGCTTATGATTTATTAATCAAAATTTGTTAGATTATTCTTGACGCATATATAACTAGACAGGTTCTTGATTGCTTGAATATTTTTGCTTTTACTCCATTAGGTATCTTCTGATAATTTTTTTTTAATATGTAATAAATAATCATTATTTCATAAATAATGTTTGTGCATTTAGTGTTTCAAAAATATATAACTAGTAACTTATAACAGTTGCTTCTATTACAAAAATAAGAGGATGTGGTATGGCTGCCAATGAGAGAACTTTCTTCATAAGACCAAATGTAAGAGAGGTTCACAATTATAAAAAAAAATGTATATCCCATTCAGCAAAGTAAGCTGTATAAATGCCTTGGAATGACAAATGACGAGCAATTCAAAGGAGAAAACTAAGGACTAAAAGTTCATTCGAATGAAGATATAGATAATTCTTCAACCATGAATACAATAGTTTTCAATTTATTTTAGAAGTATTATTTTTTTACAGGAAAGCCGATCTGTGTTTGTGTTTAGGGACATCTTTACAAATCTTACCATGTGCCAATTTACCACTTCAAGCGAAGCGTAATGGAGGAAAATTTGTAACTGTCAATTTACAAGCAACAAAACACGAAAAGAAAGCTGACATGAAAATTCATGAACCTGTGGATAAAGTTATGACTGAGGTTTGTAGACGGCTAGAGATTGAGATTCCAGAGTACTATAATCCGGTAATTTGTTTGGAGTCGATGCATACAGAAAAATCGGAAGAAAAGTTAAATGTTGTTGTCCGAGAGGAATTGTTAATGGTGGAAAATAAAGATCCCGTGAAAAAAGAGGATATTAAAAAGGAGGATAAAGATGAAAATGAACTTAAGGAAGAGTTCATTCAAAGCAATCAGTCTCAAAACTTAAATAGAATTGAAGGACGTGAAATTAAAAAAGAACAAAACACTATGTGTGAAAGAATATCAGACAATAGTCGCAAAGAAGTTAAATGTAACAAAAATGATCTCAATCAGGCAGCAGTTGTTAATAGTGACATAGATACCATTAATGAAATGTCAAAACTAGACAGGTCTTCACAAGGGCAAGGCAGATCTGATAAAGAGACAATACTCTCATTAAAAGAAGAGAGTGATCAGGGTATAGTACCAGCTAAGGGTGACGGACATCAGCTGAATGCTCACAATGATATCTGTATAGCTGACAGTTCAGCAAGTTTACACATGTACATTGTTAATTCATCAGAGATACCGAAGTCACCAGACAGCAATACAGATATTGAGGATGACAATTATGAAATACCTCAAAAAATAAAAAAGTTGTAGATATTTCAGAAAAAAATTATTTTTTGTATATCCATCCTTGATCTTTTGAGGGCTATAGTGTTTGGTTACTGTCTTTTTGTCCTTGTTTATCATTGGGTTTAGATATTTCTAAGAGATCAGTGACTTTTCTTCCTTAGGTAGTCCTTAGTCCTTGGGAAAATTCATATGAGTAACTATGGTAAAAATTGAATATTCCTTTCAAGATCTTACCCAATACAAGTAAATAGGAATAATAGTTTGTCTTTGAAGGTATCTTCAGTAGTAAGGAGGGTCCATACAAAAATTAGGTCACTTAAAATATGAATGACTTTGGTAAGTTTTGCATAAAAATTCCTGTTTAAGCAGTTAGTGGTCTTAGAACAGTGGATGTTTTTCTTATTGATAAAAATTAATAGACCCAAAATGAGTTTATCTTGACCAACATAAAAAGCATAAGAGACTGGTTAAGTTTTGTTTTCGGTTTCACATCTACACTTCTATAAAAAGTAGATCAAAGAGGAATGATATTTTGTCAATGGTTACATTTTGCAAACAAATGGGTGTCTATTTAAAGATTGAATTTTCCCTGATATATGCAGTTATGACTCTTTTTGTTTTTTGTGTTTTTCTATTGTAAAGTTTGAGCTTACTACTTTTGTACAAAGAAATTGTAAGTAAAGGGTACCCAAGTGGAATGACAATATGTGCCCTCTATGAGCTAATTCTCAGTATACTAGTTTGGAAAGGAAAGGATAATGGTTGGAGGATTATGAGAAAATAAAATTATTCAATACTGGTAAATTACCAAAGCTTAAGAAAACAGTGGGGTTTTTTTTGGCCATTGACTGAGTCAAGAAATATGCTGGAGAATCTTCGATGCTGACCTGAAGAATTCACATCTAATAGCAACATCATTCATTCTGGTTGCATTACTGTGTCAACTTTAAGGGTACATTTCACAAGCGTTATTCATGAAAGGACCTTTTGACCTTTAAATACAGCAATTTGAAACAGTAACTATTTGTAAGGCAGGTTTGACTATATCTCTTAATAAGAATTATGTTGAACAAACCTGTGTTTCTTTAGAGCAACTGAATAACTATATGTGAAACTTGGATCACCTTGATCTACCTTTAACATGTTTAACATAGATGGGCTCAAGTCTTAGGTCCTGGTGATGGAGATCTAGGAAAATACCAATTCTTACAAAAACTTGGTCAGTAGACAAATTCATTATAATTCATCGGTAATAGTATTCTTTTTAATAAGATCATTGTCAAATGGAAGTTAAAAGTACAAGTTATCCTTTATCCCTTTTATGTATTATTCAAGTAATAGTTAATGAAACAGCAAACTAACAACTCAAATTTACCAAAAAATAATTTAAAGTAACAGTACTCAAAAATCAATATACATATATCTTGAAAAATTCAGGAGAAATTGGGCAAATGACCAGTTTGCAATACTTATGACACAAATATTTGATACAGGTATAATTTAGGGAGCATGCTAGTAAGGGAATGTAATCAACAGATTTCCTAATGTGTACACAAATCAGGTGCATATCTACAGTGTAAATACAAACATTCTAATAAACTTGATGGTTCTCATCTGACATTATCATGATTATTATCAACTTATTTGGACTTGATGCTACTAGGTCAAAAAATGATCATCAATGACAGGATTTCACTCAAGAGTTGGGTGCTGACACAATTACAGTGGACAAAACAAACCACATTTCAATTGTTCCAAAATGTCGTAACTCTGAAGAGGCCTTGCTACCAATCGGTTTAAGTAGTTCAACAACTGTATCACTAGTCTGTCAACACTGAGTTTGTGAGTTCATAGCAGGTGGGTCCAATCTTAATTGACTAGGATTGCCAGTTTTCCTGTAGAAGGACAGTGGTTCTCTCCAGGCACTCCGACTTTGTCCAACAGTAAAAACTGGCCGACACAAAATAGAAAATAGTGCTGAAAGTGGCGTGAAACCCAAAAATTCAATCAAAATCAATCATCATAACTCTAAACTAATGACCATTACAAATATACGTAAAACAAGCATTCTGAGAGTATTGCATGGCAATACATAGTTCCCAACCGGTTAAAAATTCATTGTACAGGAACAAAATGCTAACTTGATCTATAACTTGTCATGGTGTAAACTACTGTGGATTCATTATTATTCGTTGGATACCAATTTTCATGGATTTCGTGGGTACAGTTGAGCCACGAAATTAAATATTCAACGAATGACAAATTTTCTTAAGGCTTGTATGCAGACTTTGGCAAAACCACGAAATGAAATATCCACGAACATGCAAGTTTTCCTTCATCCACGAAAATTGGTATCCACGAAAATAAATGAATCCACAGTATATAACAAATATCAAGTCAATATCTTCAAGCATGACGAAAAAAAGTGTGGAAAACTGATCATTTAAGTGAATTTTCTAAGTCCAAGGACCATAACTCTGCACAAAATAATCAGACCGGAACAAAATTCAAACTTGAACTGTAACTTGTCAAGATAAAACTATATACCAATTATCAAATCAATATCTTCAAGCATGACGAAAAAAACTGGAAACTGATTATTTGTGTGAATTTTCTAAGTCCAAGGACCATAACTCTGCACAAAATCATCAGACCGGAACAAAATTCAAACTTGATCTGTAACTTGTCAAGATAAAACTATATACCAATTATCAAATCAATATCTTCAAGCATGACGAGAAAAACTGGAAAACTGATTATTTGAGTCATCAGACCGGAACAAATTCGAACTTGATCTGTAACTTGTCATGATAAAACAATACAACAAATATCAATCAATATCTTCAAGCATGAAGACAAAAAGTGGAAAACTGATTTGCCGGACTGACGGATGGACAGACAGAGAGACAGACAGACAGACAGACAGACAGACGGACGGAGTGCGACTCCTAAAGTCCCCTTCGACTTCGTCAGTAGGGGACTAATAAAGGCAGTAATCTTGAATTTCATACCTCAAGTAAATAAGACAAAATAAGGTACAAGTTTGCCATATTTTACTGTTACAATCTAACATTAACTGAAACACAGACCAGTGCATGTGTCATGTCTCAATTGTTCAGCAACAAATATTTATGAATCATGAGATTGGGCAAATGTTCATTGGCAAACATTTAGCACAATAAAACAAGAAAAATATTGTATCTTTCATTTTAGCATATGAAGTTCAAGAATTAGTCTCCTAATTTACTTCTTTTAGGTCATGATTTAGTAAAAAGGGTAAACTATACTAGATTAAATTCTATCCAATACATCAATACCATACAGTAAAATGTATATCAATGCTACAACAGTGAGATGATGATATTAGATTCTTGTCTTCTTTTTTTTTTATTCTATAAAAGATTATACTGATTCATGCAAAGCAGATTTAAATGTAACGCAACATAAACGAGTAATCTCCATGCAAAGCAGATTTAAATGTAACACAACATAAACGAGTAATCTCCATGCAAAGCAGATTTAAAAGTAACACAACATAAACGAGTAATCTCCATGCAAAGCAGATTTAAAAGTAACACAACATAAACGAGTAATCTCCATGCACACAACATAAACGAATAATCTCCATGCAAAGCAGATTTAAAAGTAACACAACATATACGAGGAATCTCCATGCAAGGCTGATTTAATAGTAACACAACATAAACGAGTAATCTCCATGCAAAGCTGATTTAATAGTAACACAACATAAACGAGTAATCTCCATGCAAAGCAGATTTAAATGTAACACAACATAAACGAGTAAACTCCATGCAAAGCAGATTTAAATGTAACACAACATAAACGAGTAATCTCCATGTAAAGCAGATTTAAATGTAACACAACATAAACGAGTAATCTCCATGTAAAGCAGATTTAAAAGTAACACAACATAAACAAGTAATCTCCATGCAAAGCAGATTTTAAAGTAACACAACATAAACGAGTAATCTCCATGCAAAGCAGATTTAAATGTAACACAACATAAACGAGTAATCTCCATGCAAAGCAGATTTAAATGTAACACAACATAAAGAGTAATCTCCATGCAAAGCAGATTTAAATGTAACACAACATAAACGAGTAATCTCCATGCAAAGCAGATTTAAAAGTAACACAACAAATCTACTTTAACCATGACTTTGATCAAAGTTGAAAATACAAATGTATGATACATTGACCCTTTACCTTAGTGCTCAGGTGTAGAGAATATATCTGCCTGCACTGTGAATTCCATTTTCCTGTGAAACTACTTATATTTTTTTTATTAAATCTATTGAAAACTTTATAAAACATATAGGTACCAACTAAGTTAACTACTTTTGGTAGGCCTGCTAGGCCATCTGATGCAATCTCTGCAAATACATAGTCAAGATAGCAAAGGGAGAGAAATATCACTATAGCTAATAAAATGCTCCGCTGGGTGCAGCTTGATACGACCGCAGAGGTCAAACCCTGAATAGTTGGGACAAGTATAGACACAACCATTCAAGCTTGATACAGCACTGAATTTGGATTGTGATTAAATATTTGACACAGCATAGGTTTCTGACACAGAATGAATGTGGTCTAAGAACTTAAGAATTTTTAATTTATCTATTCAAACCATATCATTATTATTTGCTTTTATATATAAATCAGAAATAACCAATTTAAAATGGAAAATTTGAAAGAAAAAAAAGGAAAAAAAAGGAAAAAAAAATCCCTCCCCACCCAATTTTTTGAACCCCCTTATGATTCATCACCCCCAAACTCAATCCCAGCCTTCCCTTTGTGGTATGGTACCTTGCAGTACAATTTCAGAGAGATCCATACACTTGAACACAAGTTATTGTCTGGAAACTAGAAAAATGCTTGTTTTTTGGCCCCAAATTCCTAAACATTTAGGGCAATTACCCCCAAACTCAAACCCAGCTTTCCCTTTGGGATATGGAACCTTGTAGTACAATTTCATAAAGATCCATACACTTACACACAAGTTATTGTCCTGAAACTAGAAAAATGCTTGTTTTTTTGCCCCTTTTTGGCCCCTAATTCCTAAAATTTTAAGGCAATGACCCCCAAAATCAATCCCAGCCTTCCCTTTGTGGTATGGTACCTTGCAGTACAATTTCAGAGAGATCCATACACTTGAACAAAAATTATTGTCTGGAAACTAGAAAAATGCTTATTTTTGGCCCCTTTTTGGCTCCTTATTCCTAAACGTTTTGGGCATTTACACCCAAACTAAATTCCAGCTTTCCCTTTGTGATATGGAACCTTGTAGTACAATTTCATAAAGATCCATACACTTACACACAAGTTATTGTCATGAAACTAGAAAAATGATTGTTTTTTTGCCCCTTTTTTGGCCCCTAATTCCTAAAATTTGGAGGGAATTACCCCCAAAATCAATCCCAGCATTCCCTTTGTGATATCGAACCTTGTGATACAATGTCAGAGAGATCCATACACAAACACACAAGTTATGTCTGGAAGTTACAAAAATGCTTATTTTTGGCCCCCAATTCTTTAACTGTTGGTACCATAACCCCCAAAATCAATCCCACCTTCCTTTTGTGTTATTGAACCTTCTGGTAAAATTTCATAGAGATCCATTTACTTAAACTAAAGTTAGAGTGCGAAAACCAATGCGTCTTCGGACGACGACGCCAACGTCATACCAATATACGACCACAAAATTTTTTTGGCTGTTGTATAAAAATCAAGTTTCTCTGGATCTTGTTGTTGGTTAAGTCAACATTCTTGTCAGTACCTGTAATTGTCCGTTTTTAATTTTTTTTTTTTATATCAAAATTTAAAGATATTTATCTAGATAGTGGCTGATTAACCACACACCTTTCCATCACTGGTCAAGTTACTGTGACCATTAGAGGTCTAAAGATTACTTGTGTTGTTGGATTTTTGTTATTTCTTTTTACTCAAGTAAAAAGTCATATGCAGGATACTTTACCTGAATAAATGCAATACCCAAGGTATATAATTATATACATATACAAGTGACCCAAGGACAGCATTAAATGTGTTTACTAAGTTATAGGTTGTGTATTTGTAAAAATGTATTTCATTTTAAAAAGGTACAGGATGTCAAATATTTAACTGTTCAGTTTTAGGTAAAATACCACTATATTTTTCTTCAGTTTTAAACGACACTTTTTGACAGAGAGACCAGCTGGGGATTTGCCATCGAAAATGGTTTCCCCCGTTTTTTGGTGGGTATTTTTCTTTTTTTTTCAACAACATATTGCAAATGCTGTTAACAGATTTCTTCACTGGTACAGCTATTTCAGTGGTGGGTTTCGTGTTGCTCAGTCTTTAGTTTTCTATGTTGTGCGTTTGTCTTTTTTTTTTCTTTTTTTATTTGCCATGGCGTTGTCAGTTTATTTTCGACTTATGAGTTTCAATGTCCCTTTGGTGTCTCGATTTGCCTCTCTTTTCCATTTAGAAATGGTGCACAATTATTCTCAACAATTAATGACGGATAAAACTCAAAATTCAAAAATATTCTTTATTTACAACAACATAGTATAAAACAACAAGTAGAAAAACAAAATATAACCCTCACAAGAAAGGATTATTATAAAATGGTTTCATTTGTAAGATGAAAAGATGATAAAAATATATGATCCTGTCAACAATCAATCAAATGTCAAACTGATTGCCATTTATGTTAAGTTCCAAAAATCTCATTATAAACTTCTTCTTGAAATACTAAAAATCTTACTCTGCAATGTTTTCAAGCATTTAAATACATTCCCAGCCAATAAAATGTATGAAAAATCAACTTTATTTACATTTGGAAAGTAAAAATCGTTTCATAAAGTGTCTTTAAAATTTCATCTAGAAATTACTCACTAAAATTTGTGCAAAGTTTCAAACTATACATTAAAGCTTATATATAATATGTTATTTGTACAGTTTCAAGCATAATACTTCAAGATTTTACAAAACAAATGGTCAAGATGACCCATAGAGAATAATAAACAGAACAATTTAACAAACATAGATATATGACACAGTCAATTAAAAGAAACATATGTTTATGGTATTGAAACATATTTTGCAACAAATCATTTACGGAAAAATATGAGAAATTCTCCAGTATCCTTGTCAACAAAACTATATCATGACTGAATTGTAATGAAGCCATTATGAATTAAAATTGTGTAAACTCATGCTTATTGTACATTTGTTTTATATTTATATTCATCAACATAGAAAATTAGTTGTGTTTTTTTCTTTTCTCTAAATTTGCAAATTAATTACTATCTTTGGTTATTATGCTGTGAATTTCTAAGATGTCCTTTTGTTAAATTTTAAAAATTCCATCAAGAAGATGGTTAGTCTTTTTTCTTAGGAGAAAAGTATTACCAATTTTGCACAAGATTCCTGACATATTTTTCTGATAGTTTTCTTTAGACAAATGTTCCATTAAATATGTGTGTATTATACAGTAGTAGCTGAATTGCTGATAACAAAACTAATCAAAATCATACATAAGTGTAATTAAGACATGCATGTTTAACAAAGAAAATAAAGCTATGTTAGATGATGAGAATGCTAAATCATATAAGTGTATTTTGGCTTATTCCAAAACTCTAAATCCACTGATCATGACCCCCCTTCATAAATTAAAATAATCACAATATTACAAACTTATCATCTGGTTGGACTTTGAAAAATTGTTAAAATAAGGAGCTTGCAAAAATGTTCAGCCATCAGTATTTTTATTTGTGTTTCTGGGATACTCAGGCATGCAGATTGATCCTTCAAGTGCTTAGCTTAAAATTTTGAGTAGAAATACTTTTGCAACTAAATCAATCAGTAACCTCTAAGACTATAAAAAGTTTGGGATGGACAAGCCCATTATACATGTAGCTATTTCATAATGCTGTACTACATGTTAGTAACAAAAATATCATTTACCATTCATCCCTGAGAAAACAATAATTATGTCATAAATCTCCATTTATGCTGTGACTTTTTTTTTCACTGTCAGCACTGTCCAATTGATCTGCTGTTTTCTCGTTATTAAAGTCAACCTGAATTTGTTCCTGATTGATATTGTTGCTTAATTTCACATTAACATGATTGATATCGGTTTCATTGTCATCAGCTGATTTAGAATGATATAAAATGTCTTCATCCACGATAGTATCAATGTGTGTATTAGGTGGAACTGGAATTGCTGGTGTTTTTGGCGGTATTTCAAACGGTGGACCAGGTTTAACTGTCAGACCATAAGGATTGTCATCATTGTCTGTATCGAAACCATTGTCTCCATTGTGAAGCAAACTTCTGGATTTTCCTGCAAACAATTTATAGCATTATTGACTTTGTCCATTCCCGTTTTCTTATGAAAAGTTAAAAATTGACCTGAAATCATTTATTCATAGCAACAGAACAATTTGCTTTAATAAATGTAAATTTTGTCAATTATCTTGAAAAAAAGAAGTAATATAGTCTATTGAATTAATACATTAATTTGTAGATGTCCTTTTTATTATTTGTTTGATGTCTAGTAAACATTTCCATTTTTCTTTTACTTGTACTATTTGGCAGAAAAAGCAAGCGACTAAGAGTTTTTTCTGAGCCCTGGTACTTAAGAATACTATTAGTTAAACGAAAAATTTTAATCACTGAGACAACAATTTCAAAACAGTTTAACATAATGCTTACCTGGAATTGGAACATTCCTTACTCCTGTCAAGGAATCAAAACTTTTGAACGGATTGAAGGTTGGAACAATAATGAAAGCAAATGATAACAGTAGTACCTAAAAATAGATTAAATGCTTTTATAATTATCTATGAATCTTTCATTGATACATGTATTTGCTAACATAAAACAAAATTTCATTTGATTTAAACCAAGTTATTACAAAGTTGTCTTCATTTTTTAAGTTGAATACGTATATGGCGTATATATATATATATATACTGCACTGTTCTACATGTATATTAACACATCTGACTGCTTTAGATGATTGATTGCCATGCTTCTTTAGAATTTGAATCACAAGTTATTTTCTTTTTTTAAAGTGTGAAATTAACATCAGTGTTGAATGATTGACATGGTTCTTTTAGACTGAATATGATTATGTAATGAAATTCTGTCTGTAAAAAAATAAATACGGGTACATACCATAACACATGTTGATGTCTGTGGTTTGGATGTCTTTGAAACTAAAAATGTTTGTAATTTCTTTAACTGCTGCATCAATGTTCTGAAAAACAGAAATAAATGTTAAAACTATATAAATTCAAATTAAATCTTTTATCGGTAGTATAAACTTATATTAAGAAAATACATTGAATTATTTAAATGATTTTGTAACAAGGCATAGTATGGTCTACACACTACAATTTTCCTGATTTGACAAAACAATCAGTTATATAATTTTTTTTGGCTTTATATCAAGATCTAAATTAAAAATGAAATATTTAGCAAAACTTTTCAAACCCTGTTGCTTTCAACTCTGACTGGAGCATAATTCCTTAATTTAAATGTTGTAAAGAACCAATTCAAAAATGATGATGCATTAAGCATTTGGCTGTTGTCTGCTCTATGGTCGGGTTGTTGTCTCTTTGACACATTCCCCATTTCCATTCTCAATTTTATTAAGAGAATAAAATGCTCCACTGGGGCGCAGCTTGATACGCCCGCAGAGTTCGAACCCTGAACAGTTGGGGCAAGTATGGACACAACATTCAAGCTTGATACAGCACTGAATTTGGATTGTAATTAAATATTTGACACAGCATAGGTTTCTCACACAGAATGAAAGTGGTCTAAGAACTTAAAAATTTTTAATTTACCTATTCAAACCATATCATTATTATTTGCTTTTATATATAAATCAGAAATAACCAATTTAAAATGGAAAATTTCAAAGAAAAAAAAGGAAAAAAAATCCCCCCCAATTTTTTGTACCCCCTTATGATTCATCACCCCCAAACTCAATCCCAGCTTTCCCTTTGTGGTATGGTACCTTGCAGTACAATTTCAGAGAGATCCATACACTTGAACACAAGTTATTGTCTGGAAACTAGAAAAATGCTTGTTTTTTGGCCCCAAATTCCTAAACGTTTAGGGCAATTACCCCCAAACTCAAACCCAGCTTTCCCTTTGTGATATGGAACCTTGCAGTACAATTTCATAAAGATCCATACACTTACACACAAGTTATTGTCCTGAAACTAGAAAAATGCTTGTTTTTTTGCCCTTTTATGGCCCCTAATTACTAAAATTTAGAGGGAATTACCCCCAAAATCAATCCCAGCCTTCCCTTTGTGGTATGGTACCTTGCAGTACAATTTCAGAGAGATCCATACATTTGAACACATGTTATTGACTGGAAAATAGAAAAATGCTTATTTTTGGCCCCTTATTCCTAAACTTTTTGGGCAATTACCCCCAAACTCAATTCCAGCTTTCCCTTTGAGATATGGAACCTTGTAGTTCAATTTCATAAAGATCCATACACTTACACACAAGTTATTGTCATGAAACTAGAAAAATGCTTGTTTTTTGCCCCTAATTCCTAAAATTTGGAGGTAATTACCCCCAAAATCAATCCCAGCATTCCCTTTGTGATATGGAACCTTGTGATACAATGTCAGAGAGATCCATACACTTACACACAAGTTATTGTCATGAAACTAGAAAAATGCTTGTTTTTTGCCCCTTTTTGGCCCCTAATTCCTAAAATTTAGAGGCAATTACCTCCAAAATCAATCCCAGCATTCCCTTTGTGATATGGAACCTTGTGGTACAATGTCAGAGAGATCCATACACTTACACACAAGTTATGTCTGGAAGTTACAAAAATGCTTATTTTTGGCCCCTAATTCCTTAACTGTGGGTACCATAACCCCCAAAATCAATCCCCACCTTCCTTTTGTGGTATTGAACCTTATGGTAAAATTTCATTGAGACCAATTCACTTAAATTAAAGTTAGAGTGCGAAAACTAATGTGTCTTCGGACGACGACGACGACGCCAACGTCATACCAATATACGACCACAAAAATTTTTTTGCGGTCGTATAAAAACCACTGTTTTTTCCATGATCTGATTGGTCAAGACATCAGGACAGGTTTATTTTAACTACAATACATCAAAGCAATTTGTGAAGTGGAACTTCTTTTTGAATTTTAGTCCTTGTTCTGGGTTAAAAAAATGTAGTATGGGATCAATTAATGGGTACCTTAAGGGTATTCCCAGCTCTGTTTCAAAATAACAAATTTTTTTTAGGCTGTTATAAATTGATAGTATATAAATAATGGAACTAAAAAAATCAGAAATAAATGAAGGTTTGTGTCCTTGTTTTTGAGATATAAGCCACTAGATTTGTCATTCAGTTGTCACCATTTTTCTTTGAAAAACTATAAAAAAAAATAAGGATTTTATAAGATTTTCAATAATGGCTTTTTAAACTATGTAATAAAATTATGAAAAGAAAAGTAGGGGATAGGGACAAAATTTTTAATGGCACTTAAAACATGGATAAAACCAGAGGATTCCAAATACCTGACAAAAAAATCAAAAACAAGATGAACGAACATCCTTAATTTGGATAAAAATATTTCATAAAGTTTTCAAAAAATGTCTGCATATAAGCTTTTCTGTGGCCTTTACAAGTCATGACACCTACTGATTTTGTTGTTCTAAGCCATCCACCTTTTTCTTCAAGTTAGCATTTTCTGATGTACACATTTTGACTCGTTTCTCCAACCCTTCAACATAACCCATCTTTCTCTTCCTACTTTCTTTTGCAGATATCTAACAAATAAAACATGAACTTGCAATTATCATTTTAAATTTAAATCCTGTCTAAAAATTTTAAACAATTATATATTATATTTTACTATCATGTAAGTCTCTTCAATGCCTTTTGTAGGCAAACTTTCTACCAAACTATGCAGTATGGATATTGCTCATAAATCATTGTAAATAAATGATCAGACTGTTTGTTTTCTTGTTTCGATTATTTTACATTTGTCATTTTTGGGCCTTTTAAAGCTTGCTATGCAGGATGGGTCTTGCTCATTGTTGAAGGCCCTATCCTGACCTATAGTTGCTAACTTAAATGTCTCTGGTAGATAGTTGTCTCATTAGTAATCAGGCCACATGTTCTAATTCTATATCAGACATACCCCCTCCCCCACTTTTTTTTTTATGTAAATCCAAATTTGTTGCCCTTCATCCTAGTAGAACAAACCTCGCAAAACCAGCCTTATTTGTTGTTAGATTTGTTATCGTTATGAGTATAAATGTATGATACTGATATTACATGTACAATCAGTCAATCAAGCCATTTTTTAATAAACTCGTAATGGTTTCTTACCTTATTTCTTATTTTTCGTCTGACTGCCTTAAGGACTCTTTCTTCATCCTTTGTAAGTGGCATATCTGTAGGGAGTACAACTCCTTCTTTAGCCAGTAAGTCTATTTCTTCATCTGTGAGCTTTAATTCTGGGATCTGTTAACAAGTTAAATGTATAATCATAAAATTTTAGATTATGGTAAGTGGAAAGTATATTTTTCAGTAAAAAGGGATAAACCAGCATCCTCTTAGTATTAAATCATTTCTTTCATGATAATAAACTGCTGCCACAAACAAATGTCTTGCCTGTGTAGTATGTTATCTGTGCAAAAGTTTCAAAGTCAATGAACCATCAGTGATGGGTTGGGGCAAACTTTTAATAACAATTGTTGAAGAATCTGATTCTAGAAACACAGCATACTTAATTTGAAACTTTATTCAAACAAAAACTAAATATAAAATTTTTTTTTATGAAAATACCATCCTTTAAAACATGTTAATTTATATTTCTATGTGTTCGGGATCTTCCCTTCTCTTGTTTATGACTTTTTGTCAGATATTCAAAATCCTCTAGTTTTATCCATGTAGTGCCATTAAAAATTTGGCCCACTTACCGACCCCTATTCTGTATACTAAATCTAATTTTTAGGGCACATGTAATATATAAACCATGAAAACAAATGCATAGTCATGTGATAGTTAAGGTTAACCATAAAAACAAGAGCACAATGGAAGTACTTGATTCATTACCTTTGATGATGTTGATGTGGAAATATCTTTCATGGTAAATGGTAATGTATCACAAGATGTAACTTTGATGACACGAATAACTTGACTAGAATCCACTGTCGCTGTTGTACTGGTAACCTCATTCAGTGGACTATCAATACCTACAAATGTATATGTATATTGATTTATACGAATACATACATTGTAAACATTCTATTTGAGAACTTATTTGCTATAAGTCGCATAAAAAAAAAATGGCAACTGACAAGGAAGTTGACCACTTCTCCCTCTCTCTCATGGAAGAAGAAGTCACTTCTTCCTCTCCAAAATCCTAGATTAGGCCGTGCATATCATAGTTTGGATTTAAGAATATTTTTTTTATTAAAATCAACTGGTTTCCCATAACATTCTTTAAATCTATAAATAAATATTCTGACATGTGTATTCAGATCTTTCTACAATGTAAGTCCCATTAAAATAATTTCATTCAACTATTTAATGATGATCTTTTTTGGTCGAAAATTTGAAAATATTCACTACAAAATGATCCTGTATTAAAAAATACAACCCATTTTATATTCTTACCAAAATTAATTGATGTTTCCTGATTTACAGCATTTGTACTACAAATTTCTTTGAGGAAATCTTCGTCAGTAGTATTCATCAATAAACTAGCATCAATTCCATCAATATTAATGTCTTTCATGTCTAAATCCTCAAGTGATAGTACATTATTTTGTTGATCGATACCAGCTTGTCCTACATCACAATTGATTTCCATCATATCAGGGATTAAGTTTGATTGACTCCTAGGTGATCCCGACATATCTCCTGACCGTGGGCTTTGTTGCTGGTCTGTTGATCTTGGACTATACTGTTGGTCAGAAGACACACTTTGAGGTGAATAAGCATGACCACTTGAGCTCATTGATATTCCACTGTCACTGTTTGAAGGTGATTTTTGCGCATAATAATCATGATCTGAATAAATGTCTTTTGTTTTATTTTCCAATTCTGGTGGGTCAAGGAAATCAAAGTTGTTTATGTTAGCTTCATTTAAGGCAGATTCCAAAAGATCTCCAGAAAATAAGTCAAGGTCAGACTGAAAAAAAAAATGTTAAATGAATTACAAATATTTTTAGACTATTAGACATACATTGTGTACATTTGTATAAATGTCAATTTATGTATACTTTGTATTTGTCAAAAAGTTATAAAAAAATCAAAACATACTTTAAATGTATTTATTTAGCATGTTAAGGGCCTCCTTTGTCTATTCTCAATTTATTCGTTTTTTCGGTTGATATCTCCATACAAAAATTTCCTTATTTAGTATTATTTCATAAATAAAAAACTACTTTGACACAAATGTTTGATAGCCAATACTAGTTAGTCTACAGATTCCATCTTTCCCTGTCAGTGAGAGTACAAGAAATGTTTAAAAAGAAATTAAATTAAAGAAATAACATGTAATAATCTCGTCTTTGTAGGCATACCTTTGAATTGATCTTAAATCACACACAAATGTAAATATATATATACATTTTATTCTATAAAAAAACAGGTAGCAACTGAGTATGAAAACAAAACAATTGACTTTAAAAGTTAACAAATGTATCCCACAAAACAGTCCCAAAATGGGATTACACAATGTACATACAATGAAATTGCACATTTGAAAATCACTGTAGAATTTTTTAGAGTTTGTAGTTGATTCTCATGATTCTGTTGGTACATAATGTAGCTTTTAACTTTGATTAAACATTGGACTGTTTGCAGGTGAAACAAAAGCTCAATCATAGCCAAATATCCTCTATTTTCAATTGCTTGTCTGATAGAATGCACCTATTAACATATTATTATTTAAATACAATGTTCATTTATATATGCATCAAGAATGTCTCCAAGGTTTTTTTCAAATAATATCAAATTAATGCCATGTATTGTTTTTCGTGTACATTTTACATGTGTGTACATTCAAGCACGAGTACATGTTATTGTACAAATGTATACAAAGCCATCTGACAAGTCACCTCTTGAAATATATCACTCCAGTTATCACTAACAGCATCTTCCTCAGAATCTGAATTTTTTGTATCATGGTACTTGTTTATTACTGTAAAATCTTCATCCAAAAGAGGGAAAGGTATTGCATCAAATAAATCAACATCATCACCTGCTAGTAGATCCATGTCCATGTTGCTTAAATCACATACACTGAATGACAATTGACAACATGGAATTGCTTGTGTGGAAGAAAAATCTATTTTTAGATTTATGTGTCAGCAATATGTTACATCAGAAGGATACAGATTAGTTTACAAGCTACAGTGATGTCAGTATCACTGACGGTAATATATACTTACAAAGTCCAATGGTGGCACATGCGGATTATCGAACTCTTTAGTCAGTACACCTTCTTGATCATCAAACAGCAGATCTAGCACTTGCAAATTCGCGTCGACTTCCATCAATATGTCTATGTTATTAACATCTATTAATGGAAATTGACAAAATATCAAAAATGACGTGTAGCAAATTTCGTCAACGTTTGTTTGTTGTTAGGGGATTCCCAATATGTGACAATGACGCACCAGTAATGCAGTATTGGCAGTAAAAACGAATATGTATAATGGAATGAACAGTCAACAGTTAAAAAAATGTCACCATCTACGATTTTTTTCTTAAAAATCAATGTTTCTGATTATTGGCAAGTCCACTTATTTGTTTGTTTCCTTTTCGTAGAAAATTACACCACAAAAATGACGTGGAAGCGGAAGTAAACACACCTTTCGTAACTTCTCTAGAGTTTCTAATGAAAATGATTTCCCGCCAAATCAAAAACCATATTAGCTTTTTAAACAAACTTGTCTGACTTCATCTAGATAGAAAATGTATGCGATATCTAACCAAAGAAAGTTAACTTAGAATTTAATAGAGGCTTCGAACTTATTTGAATTATGTTGTAGTAATATAGATACCTTATTTTTTAAAATAAAGGACACGGCATCGTACGCATAGTGAGCGCTTAGACAGCCTTAAGTAACTTGCAATGGCCGATGACAAGTGAAACTTTATTAGACTTTTAATTACTGGATCTGTCAAAATCTCAAGTTACCGATCCGATAAAACAATCAATAAAAAAACAAGAATCAAAACATGAATACCGGATGTAGAATACTTTTTAGACATGATCTTTCCGCAGTATCTGGCCTGAGGCATTTTATTTTTTATTCAGTGCAGTTCAACTTTATAATATGGTCGTACATTTACTTAGATTTACATTCACTTCAATCTGAGACACAATGTTAGGCTCCAGTTTTACTTCAACTTTTAATAATTATCCACAAATTCGTCAGGCATTTCAATCCCACACCAGCTAATTATTATATACATTTTCAAACTGGTCCATGATATGAATCCTCATTTGAGACGGGGTTCCATGTTTAAACTGCCGCTTACTTGAAAGATAACAAATGGTTAAAAAAAAGACATACATTAACAACACCATGATCAAAATAAAAGAAGTCAAACAAAAAAGTTCGCATACCGTGATAATACACAGAAAAATCATTTGAACCCGAAAAAACTAGGATGAACCCAAGTACATCGGGAAAGTGATTTGAAATAAGAAGATGTGGTATGAGTGCCAATGAGACAACTCTCCATCCAAGTCACAATGTGTAAAAAGTAAAAATTATTAGTTCTTATTCCGTACACCAGTTGAAAGAATGAAACATCACTCCCCGGCACAAGGTACTATTTTCCCATACGTACATCTCTGAAGTTATTTTAGACTTGATTAAAATCCCGTACAATATTTATTTTATAGTTTTATGATATCAAAAGTGTCGCGATAACGCCTGTTAATGTCAAATATAATTGTACTTTATAAAACAATGAATACGGGGATACTACATATTTTCAAGCTTCCTTATTCAGTTTCAAAATGAAAACTGAATAAAACTGATGTCATGGCTGATAATTACAAAAACAAAGATCATTACCGTTTGACAAATCATTCTGAATAGAGGCTCTGAAATTAAGCTATGATTAAAGAAAAACAATTAAGACTTGAGATTAAGGTTTTACATTTTCTAGTTAGATATTTTCCTGGTAATAGGATACGTTTCTAACCTGACATAACAAATGTTATCACCGAAATTATAAACGCTTCAATCCAAATTAAGCCGGGAAAATCTTAACATTCCTTACGAGCCACAAAATGTTTAGAAAGTTCTGATTTTTTTTTTTAGAGTAATCAAACTAAGTGAAAAATTTAATGATACTATTACACATGATGTAGTAAGAGTTTTTGACCTTACATGTCAAAATTGGGTCTCTATTAAATTTGTAAATGTGAGAAAATCTTTAAATTAAACTTTTCCAATTATTTGGCCGTTTGAAACCAAATTCGGAATTTTCCAAGTCGTTCTTAATAAAAAAAAAAATTATGGCGAGGTTAACTTTTAACCGTTTGTTTGTTTTCATTTTGTACATGAGATTTTGTATTGTGACTTAACCCTTAACCATGTTAACACTGACAACAAACAAAATATACAAAGAAAGACCAACAAGATAAAAACACCAAAAACCAACAACGACCCCCTAAAAAACAACGTTAAATATTAAACCAATAAAAAGAAAATGACAAGATACAAAGTGAAACAAACAAAAGACCTTTAGAAAACCTTAAAATGATTGTTTTCTTATAAAATGAAAAAAAAACCTAACATGATGGTAAGTCAGATGATTCTCTTTGAAATAAAAGATGATATCAACAATCCGCGTCGTTAACATTAATAACGACCATGGCACTCATTGTACATGTATTGTTATAGCAATATATAGCACATCATTCCATATGACGTGTTCCAATCTTTGGTACAAAAAAAAACCAAGGTTAAGTTGAGATGATTAGTTTTACATACAATATTAAAAGGTACACGATTCTGTAAGTGTTTGAATATTGCTATATTTTAAAATGCCAATACCCTTCACAGCATTTGCTAATACGTCAGACAGTATAGTTAGAAAGATTACCGCTTATTTTATGTTTGGAGGGAGCAACCTTTTAATTGTAAGAATAATAATCGTGGTGGTGGCTGGGGTAAGGCAGAAAGAGTTTTCTCGAAACAGAATCAACCTATATGAAATAATGAATAAGGGCATACTATATTTGTTTCTATTTACTTGTTCAGTTTTATAATAAAAACAACTGAATCAAACTGATAATTATTAAATTGCATTTAATGTGCAATAAAGCAAGATTAAGAATACATAATCTAAGACATGCCATGAAAGAAAATCCCTACAGAAAAACTCACTTTCTTTTAAAAAACCAATAGTTTCTCTGGTCTGTAATATATTTACTTATAGGGTCTTTGCATCGGCACTAAACACATTTTTTTAAAAACCAGTTGTTGGCATGACACGGGTTATGTTCTTCTCATATATGTTATGATGGTATGATACTAAACCCCTAACGGGAAGGATTGTGCCTGATATTCATATGATGAAGACATAATCTTTCAATCAGTTTAATTGAAGTCTGGAGCTGGCATGTCAGTTAACTGCTAGTAGTCTGTTGTTATTTATGTATTATTGTCATTTTGTTTATTTTCTTTGGTTACATCTTCTGACATCAGACTCGGACTTCTCTTGAACTGAATTTTAATGTGCGTATTGTTATGCGTTTACTTTTCTACATTGGCTAGAGGTATAGGGGGAGGGTTGAGATCTCATAAACATGTTTAACCCCGCCGCATTTTTGCGCCTGTCCCAAGTCAGGAGCCTCTAGCCTTTGTTAGTCTTGTATTATTTTTAATTTTAGTTTCTTGTGTACAATTTGGAGTTTAGTATGGCGTTCATTATCACTGAACTAGTATATATATTTGTTTAGGGGCCAGCTGAAGGACGCCTCCGGGTGCGGGAATTTCTCGCTGCATTAAAGACCTGTTGGTGACCTTCTGCTGTTGTCTTTTCTATGGTCGGGTTGTTGTCTCTTTGACACATTCCCCATTTCCATTCTTAATTTTATTATATGCTCATTTCCAAGTACTTATTTTCTTGGACCATAATGTTCAGTTCTGTATAAAGATGGCGAAGATACCATGAGGTCCATGTAAAGCCACAAATTGAAGAAAAACGTATAACAAAAAAGAAAAGCTCTAAAGAGCATGTATCGCTCACCTTGATCTATGTTCTTTTTCAACATTGAAGACTTGAACATATATAATTCATAACTAAGAATTCTTTCTTGATGGTTTTTTTTTTGTCTTGCTGATCATGTTTTCTCTTTACAGTTTTTCTTCATTAACAGTTACTATAGTTCTGGTAACAAATCGTCGATTAGGGGCAATAACCCCGACAGAGAGTGAACTCGTTAGTTTTTTCGTTTGAATTATTTTACATTTGTCATTTCGGGGCCTTTTATAGCTGACTCTGCGGCATGTGTTTTACTCATTGTTGAAGGCCGTACGGTGACCTATAATTGTTAATTTCTGTGGCTCTTGGTCTCTTGTGGATAGTTGTCTCATTGGTAATCATACCACATCTTCTTATTTTTATAATTATTTAAGATATATTGACATATTTATATATTTTGTCCTGCTGCTCATTTTCCCTTTTTTTAAAGTTGATCTTTAGTTATTATGGGATTCAAGATAGACCAAGATAATAAGCAAAAACGCAGAAAAAAACCGGGAGTGACCTAAGGTTCACGGGAAGAATAAGTAGTACCTGCTGTAATAAGGGTAAACGTCGCTGTTCAAGATAAGTAAATTGTAGATGATAGGTTGCATTTAAGGATGGAATTAAGGCGCCGATAAGGGAGCTACCATTTGATTTTTATGGGTGGGGGGGCTAGGATGAAATTTGAAAAAAGGGCAGGACAGGAGTTTTGAGTAAAAAAAAAGGCAGGATGAGCAACTTGGCAAAAAAAAGGCAGGATGACAATTTATGTAAAAAAAAGTCAGGATAAACTAATAAAAAAAATGCAGGACCGAATAGAGTGAAAAATAAAAAGGTAGGACAGAGACTACAACTAAAAAAAATGCAGGACAAAATTTTTCATCTTAGCCCCCCCCCCCCCCCCTAAAAATCAAATGGTAGCTCCCTAAATGGGATATAATTGTGGTCATCTCATCCATGACACAGATATTCCATACAGGTCAACCGAATCCTGATGGCGTCCGTAAAACTTTCGAAGGAATGGCTTGACTTTACTATTTGGAACCCTTGGTTCTATTGCTTCCTTGTAAGCAAGAACCACATATAAGGGAAATCGTGACATGATTCGAAAGCCATGACTATCGTATCAATTGGGTGATTTATATTCAATATGCAAAGGCTGCTGGAATACTGCTACATATGAATGGAAAGTTCACGATTGAAAAATTATAATCATCTATTTGATAGTAAAGTTAAGTTTTCAACCGACCCTCACTGTCAATTTTCATGATTTATGAACCAGATTTAACTATATTTTCCGTATCCTTAATTTCAAGTTCAATGGGATAAATACTCTCAACATAGTTACCAAACTTTGAATTATTCAGTGAGGCATATAGCAGAACGTAGAGTTAAAGGATGATGCCAGCTTCTTTTCATTTCTCTTTAGAAGCTTCTGTGCATGAAGTCTGCCTCGTGCGAATAAGGATCAATGTAGAAATAAGGAGACGCGGCAAGCATGCCAATGAAACAACTATATCAACCGGTGACCAGGACGAGGATGTAAACAATTATAGGTCACCGCACGGCCATCAACAATGAACAATACAGCTTAAACCATATTCAGTAAGCTATAAAAGGCCCAGGATTAAAACTATATTGTGAACAATTTCAAAAGAAAAATAACGCCCTGATTAAAACTAAATACATAAAACGAAAAACGATCATGACAGACTGTAAGCGACGACAACAACTTGACTAAATGCTCCTGGTTGGAAAAGACACATACAAAATGTAATGAAAATACATTATAAAAAAATGCAACTAGAACGAATATTATTATAATTTTTTCTTTTCAAAGTTAGAAATAATTTAATATTGGTTTTATATCTATATTTACTTAGATAGTAATCACAGATCAGGTAGCTGTTTCCGTTATTGAGGTGCAAAAGTTACAAGTTGCAATAATTATTGCACTTATTACGTATTATTCAATCAAGGAAATTCAAATGTCACACTATAATATCGACTGACATAAGGTAGATTTCTTGTTACACTAACTTGCTAAAATAAACATTTATATGAACTGCATAAAACTTATGAGAGAGAAAATTGTTAAATTTCATACATATCAAGGTACAAAAAATAACATAATTTTTTTTTATTTGGTGGGCCGAAGCGCCTTTCTGGATTTAACTTCACCAGGAACGCTCAAATCCAAAAACTAAAGCCGAGGATGTATAAGTACGTACTCGAATACAAGATTAGCTATATAACCAAACAAAAGAACTTTAAAATAACAACTTACTCAAGCTATGATCAACTTTGCCAATATTTCACCGTTGAAAGTGGCCAGAGTGACATCAGCATTGCACGACTACTTATTATTAATAATAAACATTGTAACTAAATCGTATAAATATAAAACGATTAGAAAAGAAATTGCAGAAAAAACAGGAATACATTCAATAAACTAAGTTTGATATTCTTTATTGCAGTTCATTGGTTCATATAAAACAGATACATGTAGCAATACAAAAGTACATACTTGTAATATTGTCCTTGATAACCGTTTGATCCTTCAAGCAAATTATATCATAAACGCATCTTTTATTTGTTTATTTACAATTACGAATCTAGATGTCTCTTTGAAATAGAAAATATATCATCGATCTACAAAGAATAATTTATCGTAAATTTTGTATGAAAACATGACACTTTTGTGATGAATTCTATTATATTGTGCAGTTCAGCAGTCGTCCGTCACATAAACTTGTCACTTTTCAGCACAGGTCAGCCTTTGTGGTTATGTTACACGATAGACAAGATAGTATAAAATCACCGGCACGCAAGATGATGATACAGTTCCATATTGACTAGCTGCAGTACTAAGAAGTCTAAGGTAATTGAAAAGTTGTATACCGTATTGTATGTAACTAAATCTTTAGAAAATTGAATTTCACATAAAAAGGGAACTGTTACCGTAATTAAGAATAGATCTTTCTTTTTCTTAAGTGTTGTGTAAATATGTTTTGATAATTGTAACGACCTGTACACTTTATCATTGAAAATTGAAATTTTGAAGTAGCGCACTTAACTATGAATAACTTGATTTTTACTATTATATTAATTTCCTTGTATATTGTATATCTTCTATTATTATCTGTAAACTTTATATAATGGAAAAATCAATATTTATATATATAATTCCCAATTTTTTTTCAGACATCAATATGATTTTGTTTGTCACCCTCATTTTCGCTAGTACAGCTGGAGTTCTGGCAAGCGGGAAAGGAGGTATAATAATTTGTTTATCCAGTAGTGTCTCAAAGTGTCTGGCTTCTTTTATCTGTTTATATATATATATGTTTAAATAAAGCAAATTTGTTTTTAAAAAAAATGCAGCTTTGGAATCAATTTAAATAAATCGAGGGTGTTCAATTAAAAAAAATATATATAGGTAGACCGGTGTGCTTCTTTTAAAACAAGCTTTGAAAAGAAAGATCTTTGGGGTGAAATAGACGCCTGTGTTTTTTTTTCACATAACAAGATTTGGAAGATACGGATTTTAAAAAATATATAAACAATGTATAAGAAATAATAAGGCAATGTATCATGGCTCAGTGAGATGTAAAAATGGTCATGCATTCCGCATATTGAAAAATGAAAAATATGAGAGTAACTGAACAAACGTTTTTAATACATTGCTGAGGAAAAGATAAATAGGTTCCGAAATATTATGTAAAAGCTGAAAACTGTTCTACAGTTGCGAGAATCTCTGAAGTGAAATAAATTTGCATATCGCAATGTTCTGTATGAAACCAATTCAATCAAAAGTTGCAGTTTCAGAACAGTTTTTTTTTTAATCAGTAAACCATTACTTGTTTAATGATATATACAAACTGATTATGAAACTTTACCAAAAGGCATCGATTCATATTTCGATATAACAAGCAATTGCATACCTTAGACAATTCTTTCTTAATAGTTCTGACTTGATCATGATTTAATGTAAAATAGTTTATTGTTCTTTCACACCATTTTCTATCTACATGTAGTACAATCTATTCATCTAGTAACGTAGACATCCTTCCTTTTCAAATATTCGGCATTGAACGTTCTCGATGAAGGTCAATCCAGAAAAGCGCGTTGGAAGCGCGCATGAAATTTTTAAAGTGTTTTTTTTCTTCATTATTGTACTATGTATAAAGAAAATAAGTCTGCAATCCAATAATTCTCCCTCGATGATTTTCATAAAATAAACATTTGCATGCGGAATGCTAAATTTAATTGTAACTTTAGTTTAAAGACTTGAAAATGATCTACCAATAGACTAAATTCACATACTTTCAAAGAGAAGAAAACATACCACACCAGGACACATCAAATAGTCATTATAACGTCCAAGTAAAACTTATACAAACTATAACTCATGCACACAAAAAACATAGAAAGTCATTCTACATGTGGAAAACACTAATACTTCTATTACTTCTAAAATGATAATAAAATAATCTTATATCTTACTTGAAAGTAATAGTAAATCAAAAGATCACTTTATTGCATTTGAAGAAGAAGACATAGTCATGTGTTTTGGGGTAATATGACGTCAAAAGGGGGTTAATTTCAGATCTTTAGATTGCACTATCATGAAAAAATCACATTTTCTATGGAAATTAGTACTTTTATCTAATTCTTCAAATTGAGTTAAATATTGATTAATTTAACAATTGCTCAGACTTAAGGAATAGCTATGACACAACAGCATAATTTGTAATAGCTATGATTTGTGATTTAATTCTCAAATGAAACATGGCTTGTGATAAATATTTTTTGCAGGAATTGGTTCTGGTGTAAATAGAGCCATATCTGGTTTCCAAAGTGGACGTCTTAGTAATGATGGAATTGTAGATGGGAGGTTCGGTGGTGGTTTAGATGGAAGGAGATTAGCTGCAGCATTAGGTGGAACTGTCGCAGGAACTGCAGCAGGGCTAGCATCCGCTCTTAGTGGAGGATTAGCTTCTTCACTAGATGGAACAGGAAGATTTTCTGGAACAGTAGGAGGCAATTTCAGAGGCAGATTTGGACCCGGTTTGAGTGCAACTGGTCCAGGTTTGACTGCAACTGGTCCCGGTTTGGGTTCAGCTGGTCCTGGTTTGAGCGGATTTGGTCTCGGTTTGAGTGCATCTAGCTCCGATTTAAGTAGAACTGGTCTAGCAGTGAGTGGCCTATTCCCAAGTGTAAGTGGATTAGGCCCTAGTACCAGCAGATTTGGTACCGGACGAGATGACACAACCAGTAGAGGAGGTTTCATCACCATAAGTTACCAAGCATACATCGGATTGATCTCTTATATTTCATCCCTCGAAAGAACCCTTACTATTAATACAGGTGTCAGAACTGGTTTTGGAGGAAGACAGCCCGGAAGCAATTTTGTAAGTGGATTTTCTAGAGTAGTATCTACACCTGGAGGTCAAGGAATTATTTCCACTTTTCAACCAAGAGGCTTTGTAAGTAGACCTAGTGATGAGCTATCAGTCAGCCGCCCTGCAGGCCAAATTGTTGCATCTTTCCAACGAAGTGGCAGTGTTAGCAGTCCAAGTGGCGATTTGTCAGTTCGCGTTCCTGTAGGTCAAGTTAATGCACCTTTCCAGCCAAGTGGTTTTGCTGGTAGACCAAGTGATTCTACTTCAGCAAGTTTGGAGGGGAGTTTTGGAACAGATGGCTCTAGTACATTTGGACCTGTTTGGAGATTTGGAGTAAATGGTGTCAGAGGTGTTGCAGGTAGGTTAACATTCATTTGTTTAGAAACAAATTTGGTCGAACTTTAAAAACAGACATTTATATGCTTTATCTCAACACTGTCATGGTGCATGAATACGTGCATATGTGTTAATAATTAATATATGTAGTTATTATACTAACATTTGTTTTTTGCAAATAAAAATTTTAGTATAATAATTAGACAAAATTATAATAGAGCATACTGTTGACTATTCTATTTTTGATGATACCAATTGAATATTACAAATTTTTGATGCATTTCCTGTGATGTATTTAACCTTATATACAGTATTTATGTTAATATATTTTTTCTGACTTCAGTAACAAAATGAGTTTGCATTGTGTTCAGTGTTTAAGGTTCAGTACACTTTAATCTTTCTAAAAGTTAAATATATCAATTTGTTTTCACAAATAGGAGGGCCTGGGTTAGAATTTTAATGTTTGTTTTATTCACACATTGTTGTCAATATAATGGAAATATATGCGACGGTCATGCAAGTGAGAGGTTTAGCTAGCCATAAAACCAGGTTTAATCCACCATTTTCTACATAAGGAAATGCCTGTAACAAGTCAGGAATATGACAGTTGCTTTCCATTCGTTTGATGTGATTGAGCTTTTAATTTTGCCATTTGTTAAGGGACTTTTCGTTTTGAATTTTACTTGGAGTTCGGTATTTTTTGTTATTTTACTTTTTACATATGACCGTTCAATGAATCGAAAATTCATTCATTACTGAAAAATGAAAATAGTAAGTCATTTCGATCATCCGAAACGCGTTTCTGAATTTACCTTGATCAAAGTTTTGCAATTAACACTAAAAACCTGCTGATATTAACTTGAAAACTGAAATAATTGATGTGTCCGAAAATTTCGCTTTCGATTCAAACATTGTGTCTTATCCAATTGTTTTTTTAACAATGATCTATATGCTTTTTAACCAAAGACATTGGACAAATGGGTTTAAATCTTATATAATTCTTAGATCGTAGCGGAGTTAGAATCACAGACGGAAGAGGAGTTGCAACCACAGACGGAAGTGGATTCAGAATTACAGATGGAAGTGGATTTAGAACCACAGACGGAAGTGGAGTCAGTATCACAGATGGAAGTGGATTTAGAACCACAGACGGAAGAGGATTCAGAATCACAACAGGAAGTGGTGGTAGAACCACAGACGGAAGAGGATTTAGAATCACAGACGGAAGTGGAGTTAGAATAACAAGGAGAAATGGATTAATAGTTAAAGCTGGCAGAGGTTTGTATAATTTTCTGATATTTTTAATAACAGAGAAATAATATGCAACGAATGTTACCAATAATTTTTTTTGTGAATTTTTTTAATATTTTTCTTTTTCCGTAGACTAATATAATGGGCAGTACGGTGACCTATAGTTGTAAACTTTTATGTCATTTTGGTCTCTGGTGGAGAGTTGTCTCACTGGCAATTATACCACATCTTCTTATTTTTATATATATTATTAATTCATAACTAACAAACTAGTTCCTTCTTGGATACTTTGACATCAAAATAAACCAAAAACAATACCTGATAACCGTAATTGTTGTGAAATAAAATGACCGAAGAATTAGACAAAATTCTTATTTTCTATGTAAACAGGTGTAAGTTTTATAGCGAGAAGACACCAAAGGGGCAATCAAGACCAATAAGTCAACGAGAAAATTGGAAAAAGCAAACATCAGTCCACAAAAAAATACATAGCGACCATACGATTGAGCAAAACGAAATGCTAAAAAACGGGGGCTGAACCCAGGGAACCCTAAAGAATAACCAGTTTCGTAGTATATTTCTATCAAAGAAGACGGCGGACAAATTCTACACTACTAGATACTTAGCTAATGATTCAAGGGCTGTTTTCTGCTCTTTGGTCGGATTGTTAGTAGATAGATGTAAGAAGATGTGGTATGAGTGCCAATGAGACAACTCTCCATTCAAGTCACAATTTTTAAAAGTAAACCATTATAGGTCAAAGTACGGCCTTCAACACGGAGCCTTGGCTCGCACCGAACAGCAAGTTATAAAGGGCCCCAAAAATGACAAGTGTAAAACCATTCAAACGGGAAAACCAACGGTCTAATCTACTAGTATATAAAAAACGAGAAACGAGAAAGACTTATGAAACACAGGCTTAGGACAGGTGCAAACAAATGCAGCGGGTTTGAACTAGTTTTTTTGGCTCCAAAGCCTCCCCATAACCTAGGACAGTGATGTAACGGTAAAACATAAGAACAAACTATGCAAAACAATAAACGAAAAACATATGAGAAACAGCAACAAAGACAACCACTCAATTACAGGCTCCTGACTTGGAATAGGCATATATAGAATTGTTGTCTCTTTGACGCATTCCTCGTTTCCAATTTCTCAATTTTATCTATTTTACGTTTAAAATGATCCAAATGGAAATTCTATAATTGAATAAGTTATGACATAAAGTATTGTTATTTAATACTTAAGTAAGCCTAATTCGATATAGCACACACATTTATGGTATTTATTTCATACATTTCAGGTACCTACTAAACCCTCTTGGGAGGTGTTTATCTGAAAGAAATGTCACTTTTTGCTTGAGATCTCCATTTACTTCTATCTTAGTGAATTTAGTCAATAAAAAGCTTTATATTTAACGAATGATAGTTTATTCATTTTTCATTTTTTGATGGTCTCTAATGTCGTTTTTTGCCACACTACAATAGCGTCTTTTTCATGAATAATACATAATAAAACACTATTTAGATTTCAACCAGATAAATGGCACGTTACTGGTATTCATGGGTATTCTAACGGCCTAGTTTTCATCTCTGATATTGAACGTAAAATGAATTCCTACGTCAGGTAATTGCAATTTTAGCCTAAGATATACATGTTATAAAAGCTATAAAATCATATTCTGAAAAAAGGTAACAATGCAATAAACGAACACAGTGTCAGAAGTATAAACCAAGAGGTGCAGTACACGAAGCAGAGGGATATCATACTTAATATGATATATGACATGTACACGTGACATACACTCTTGTGATTTTTCGAAGAAGTCAAGCCCATTACTGACCCGATAGTAGGCTGAATAGTAGCATTTGTGGGATACTCATTCCATTGAGGTCCACCAATTCGAAATTGACCATGATACCAATTTCAGTGTATACATGTAGTAAGCATTAACTGAGCCAACTGTATCTGTATCTGTATATGTATATATTCTGCCAGTATAGGCACACCTTCAGTACGAAATTATAATATCCAATCACCAATAGAATAATAATAAAGTCTGTACACTATACAAGTATGTCAATATGTTCCTTCACATATATATATATATATATATATCAAGTCTTACTTATGAAATTTAAAATGTATATATATTTTTTTAAATAATAATTGATCCACAGTCCACACACAACTACTATTTAGCTAAATTTGTCTTTTTAAAGTTTTTTCTGTCCTGTGTTTAGGAGCGTGTACCTTTGCATATGCAGGTTATATACAAGTGTTCTACAAGCAGGTTCAACATGAAAGCTACATAGATCACTATTTTGAGTGCAGGCACATAATTTCACAAGGTAGTAAGGGTTAATTATCATATGGGTTAAGTTTACATCCAAACTATTGTTAAATAGTTCTAATATTCTAAGACACAGTGTATACGAATACGAAAGTTTTATTTTGATTCGGTTCACATATAACAATACAAACATAAGCTCTTAAGAGCTTTTTACCGAATATAAGGTAACACAAACACACCATTAAAACACACAACATGCAGACATGATATATAACAGCACAATCATATTGAAAAACATGCAAAGCACTATTAAAATACATATATATCTAAAGCCAAAGCTGAAGCACAACTAAAATTTAAGCACAACTAAAATTAAGCACAAATAAAATATAGCACACATGCAAAAATTTAAGGCATGATAACATGTTAGAGCAACTTCTAAAATATGAAAAAGCTTATCTACAAGCAGAACAACAACATTTTGAACCATTCCAAGACTGTATAAGGCTCTTAAATTGAGAAAAACTGTTTTCAGTCCTGAAATGGTCAGGTAGGCTGTTCCACAGAGTAGCAGCTGTAAATTTAAAACTTTTCATACCAAACTGTGTAGTTTTTACATGTGGTATATCCAGTATATTACTATATCTGAAAAAATATTTACAATCTTTTACATTTAATAAATCATGTAAACAGACAGGTGCTAATTCATTGACTATATTAAAAGTTTCAATTGCCATTGATCTTTGTCTTTTAATATGCAGTGAAGGCATCTTAGCCTTTTCAAGCAACTGTTGATATGAGCTTGAATGGTCTTCGTACACAAACCTTAGTGCTCTTTCTTGCACTTTTTCTAATTTTTTTGAATTTTTCTCGGTACAAAAATGCCATGCCAAAGGGCAGAAATTGAAGTTTGACAAAATAAATGTATGGAAAATAGTAAGCTTACCTAGCTTGTTCAGATAAGCTCCCAAACGTTTCAAAATATTTAGTTGCTGAGATGCCTTCCTGCATATTTTACCAATATGAATATCAAAATTTAGCTGATAATCTATATCAATGCCAAGTAATTTGACAGTTGACTCACACGAAAGATCAGCACTTTGGATACGTATAGATAGATTTTTGTTATATGTCTTTTTCCCAACTGCTAAGACCTGAAATTTGTCGGGGTTTGCCTGCATTTTATTTATTTTGAACCACTCAATAAGTTTGAGTGATTCAGATTCCAAAGTAGAAATCAAAACATCATAATCAGGACTACAGTATGATAAAGTATTGTCATCTGCATAATTATACAGAGTTCCATTTTTTATAAATAAGAATATATCATTGATAAAAACATTGAATAGTAGGGGGCCCATGATAGAACCCTGGGGAACCCCCTTATGAATGTCAGCCCGCTTGCTAAGAATACTATTTATTTTAATTTGTTGTTTCCTGTTTGTCAAATAAGATTTAAGTAGTGAAATAGAATGAACAGAGACACCATATGCTGATAATTTATCAAGCAGAATTTCATGTGGTAGGCAATCAAAAGCCTTTGAAAGGTCCATTAAAACAGCAGCTATATACTGGTTTTTATCTAATGCTGCACGCCAATCTTCTATCAGTCGTAACAGTGTGATCTGACACCCATGGGCACGTCTAAAAGCACACAGATAGGTATGACTGCTCACGTATTAATTTAAGACGATTTTCTCTTTCCGGTTCTAGTGGAGTACATGAGATCAGGCAGTGTTCTATAGTTTCGTCCTCTTTATTACATATTTTACAGGAAGCAGATTTCACATTTGTTGAATTTGGCTCTATTTGACTGTAGTATGTAATTTCCTGTTGTGAGTTTTGTTCTGATAGGTATTCTGTTGATGTCTTACAGTTTGAGGTGTTTGTTGTAAGGATTGGATGAAGTGCTTTGATCTTATAGGCACCTGATATGTGTTGTAAACTTGAATGAATAACCTTCAGAGTTGTAATTTATCTTTTCACTCCAGTATGTACAAATTTTCCTTGTAATTAGATTTTTCCACTGGAATATTTCCAAGAGGATATGTTAAGAATTTCTGGCAGTCAGACAAATCATATTTAAGGCATATTTTCTTTACTTCTATAAACCAGCTTTTACTTGTATGTGATTTTATTTGTAGCTGTCTTTCTGCCAATCTCTATTCAATTGATGATCATGTTTTGTTGGCTCTAGTCATGTTTCCGAAAAGTGTTAGAGCTTTAAGGTGTATTTCAGCTTCAATTGGTAGCATTCCAGGAATTGAAAATATGGCAGTCAGATTTACACCACAAAATCTACTATGAGTACAGACAAACTGATGCATCTAAGAAAGACTCAAGGCATGGCAGGAACTTGATATATAAAAGTTATATGTAGTCTATGTTTCAGAAAATTAAAAACTTATCTGGATTTTGATGTGCATTTTTTCCAGTCTGCAGAAGATAGCAAAATAAACAAACACACGAGTTTCATTTGATACGGTCCACTCAGTTAAACATTGTTTGCAGATGTCTATTTCCCATCTATTGTCCATTTAAATCCATACTAATCACAACATTTATTATATGAGGGAAGCTACTCAAACCTCTTTCCCAACTTAGTTTATTTAGTTAAAATCCAGAAAAGTTTATAATTTTCTGAAACATTAATTGCATTTAGAATTTAATTATCTAGTTCCTGTCATGCCTTAAAACTTTTCCAGGTGCACAGCTTTGTACTCAGAGT